ATCCTTGATGTTTCTACAACTTGGAGTCCACCTGTGGTAAATTCAATTGATTGGACATGATTTAGAAAGGCACACACCTTTCTATATACCTTATATAGAAAGGTGTGTGCCTTTCTAAATCATGTCCAATCAATTGAATTTACCACAGTTGACAGATCCCACAGTTGACAATGCATGTCAGAGCAAAAACCAAGCCATGAGGTCGAAGGAATTGTCCGTAGAGCTCTGAGACAGGATTGTGTCGAGGCACAGATCTGGGAAAGGGTACCAAAAAATGTCTGCAGCATTGAAGGTCCCCAAGAACACAGTGGCCTGCATCATTCTTAAGTGGAAGAAGTTTGGAACCACCAAGACTCATCCTAGAGCTGGCCGCCAGGGAGGTGACCAAGAACCCGTTGGTCACTCTGACAGAGCTCCAGAGTTCCTCTGTGGAGATGGGAGAAACTTCCAGAAGGATAACCATCTCTGCAGCACTCCACCATTCAGGCCTTTATGGTAGAGTGGCAAGACGGAAGCCACTCCTCAGTAAAAGGCACATGACAGCCTGCTTGGAGTTTGCCAAAAGGCACCTAAAGGACTCTCAGACCATGAGAAGAAGATTCTCTGATCTGATGAAACCAAGATTGAACTCTTTGGCCTGAATGCCAAGCGTCACGTCTGGAGGAAACCTGGCACCATCTGTACGGTGAAGCATTGTGGAGTAAGCATCATGCTGTGGGGATTTTTTTCAGCGGCAGAGCCTGGGAGACTAGTTAGGATCGAGGGAAAGATGAACGGCACAATGTACAGAGAGATCCTTGATGAAACCCTGCTCCAGAGCGCTCAGGACCTCAGACTGGGGCCAAGGTTCACCTTCCAACAAGACAACAACCCTAAGCACACAACCAAGACAACGCAGGAGTGGCTTCTGGACAAGTCTCTGAATGTCCTTGAGTGGCCCAGTCAGATCCCAGACTTGAACACGATTGAACATCTCTGGAGAGACCTGAAAATAGCTGTGCAGCGACGCTCCCCATCCAACCTGACAGAGCTTGAGAGGATCTGCAGAGCAGAATGGGAGAAACTCCCCAAATACAGGTGTGCCACGCTTGTAGCGTCATACCCAAGAAGACTTGAGGCTGTAATTGCTGCCAAAGGTGCTTCATCAAAGTACTGAGTAAAGGGTCTGAATACTTATGTAAATGTGATATTTCAGTTTATTTGTAAGACATTTGCAAACATTTCTAAAAACCTGTTTTTACTTTGTCATTATGGGGTATTGTGTGGAGATTGATTTTAGAATAAGGCTGTAACGTAACAAAATGTGGAAAAAGTCAAGAGGTCTGAATACTTTCCGAATGCACTGTATGTGATTATTAGAGAAATAGTGTGTGTACATGCGTGTATGCAGCCAGGTCACCCGTGATACAAGTCAGTATTCGACTTCCACCCATGTTTGAGGAAGTCGGGACAGGACAGTGCTCACTGTTGCCCACTAGGGGCAACAGTGAGCCTCTGGTGCCAAAGGTTGCATGTTCAAATCCAGCGATAGAAAGTTGTTTTAAGCCTATCCCAAACCTTAACCCTTACCTTAAACTTTCAGAGTTAATACCTAACCTCAAGATTTCGGAGTTACTGCCTAAACTTAACCTGAAACACTTTGAAATTTGATGTTTGGAAAAACTTCGAAATTGGATGTTTGAGAAACATGGATAAACGTCTAATTCTGACGTGAGACTGTGAGCTAGTTGCATGCATGAGCTGTGAGAGGGGAACCAGCAGCAGCATCAGACACAGCAACACTCGGTGTGAATAAATCATGGGAGGAGAACATTTCACTCTGAACACAGTCACAACCTGCAGATGTGCCTGGCTGCAGACAGACTACCGCAGACCCTAACACACATACACAACCTGCAGTCACAACAGGCTTGTTCCCTAAATTCTGTGCCAGCCTTGGTAGACTAGAAGATTCCTATATCATATTGATGTGTTCCTGCAGACCCTGTGCTCACTGCCCAGCCTGTCTGCCTACAGCCCTGTGTACACCTTACTGCAGAGCTGAAATCATCAATAAAAGCTCATTCTCTACACCAGATGGAACTATTGGGCTTGTGGTTCTACTGTCTGTCTCTGTCTTTCCCATATTGACACACCTGAATGTCCCCACGTTGTTTGTTCCCAGACCAGAGACCAGCAGTAGCCTACTCAGACTGCTATTAATACTGTTCCTTACTGTTAGTTACCATGAAAAGACTGTGCTTTCTGAAACACACTGCGGCTAACTGACTGGGTAGACACACTGACGAGAGTGTGTCTATGTGTGAGTGTTTTGTGTGAGTGTCTGTGCATGTATTTGTGTGTGTGTTTGTGTAATGAGTGTGCGCATGTGGATCTTTGTATGTGCATGTACACGTGTGTGTGTGAGTGTGTGGGACTTTGGTGGTGATTTCCGGCCCGTGCAGCTGGAGAGGCAGTTTCAGATAGAGCCATCTAATTTTCTGCTCTCAAAATCCCTCGCTCGGCTCAATTTGAGATGGGGCCTGGCTCGTTGAGAAATGTAAATTGGAACCAATGGAGCTGGATGCTGCACTGCTATAATCTGGCAGGAGCAGATAGCTTTATTAGCTCTAAAAGGAGTGTGTGTGTGTGTGTGTGTGCGTGCGGGCGCTGCTTAGCTAGAACTTAGGTGAGCCTCAATGTTGTGGGCTTCATTCTGGAATGTGCTAATAGTCTTTATTTTCCTCTCTCCTCCTATATTCTCTCTTCTCCACTCTGTACTATCCTCGATCCTGTGCAAAGTGGAAAGTGAGGTAGCAAATCGATATCATTTCCTCTCCCCATTGGGAGCATTTTCAGAACTCCCCATAGAGCAGGAATCATAATCTAGCTTCAGCCGCGGGCCGATTTTTTTCTTGAGTGGATAGTCGGGGGCTGGAACATAATTACAATTAATTTGTAGACTGCAATTTGACCTCAAGAAGCTCAAACAGATATAATGTTTGACTAAAACATAATCATTTCAAACCTTGCTTACATTTGTATATGATCAAATGTGTCTCTCTGTTATGCGTGGGAATACTTGGGAACAGATTTCCTAAATTAAATAACTTTGAGCTGATTTCCTGGTGTTTTTATGTCCAACAATGTTTGTAAAACATGGGGGGACAAATAAAACTACCCGCAGGCAGCCAGTTGAGGAACCCTGCCATAGAGACTGACACAGAGCTTCACTCTCCTTTCAAACACTTCTTAGTCAGGATATCTGATCCCAACCTCCCTAGAAAACACAGATCTTGAAGGAAGATTGAATCAAGATTAAATTGGCTTTTTCCCTGCTCTGTTGTTCCGCTAGCGGCACTGCAGCCCACCAGAGGCCCTGGGTCACAGCTCTTATCATGTGTTCTGTCTAAGTAATTATAAAACGGGTTGTTTGGATGCTGATTGGATGAGCAGCGTTCCAAGCCGTGCTGTATTCGCTGACATAGGCCCACCTACACTATATATACAAAAGTATGTGGACACCCTATCAAATTAGTGGATTTGGCTATTTCAGCCACACCCGTTGCTGACAGGTGCATACAATAATCGAGCACACAGCCATGCAATCTCCATAGATAAACATTTGCAGTAGAATGGCTTTACTGAAGAGCTCAGTGACTTTGAACATGGCACCGTCATAGGATGCCACCTTTTCCAACAAGTCAGTTCGTCAAATTTATGCCCTGCTGGAAAAACCCTGGTCAACTGTAAGTGCTGTTATTGTGAAGTGGAAACGTCTAGGAGCAACAACGGCTTAGCTGCGAAGTGGAAGGCCACACAAGCTCACAGAACGGGACCGCCGAGTGCTGAAGCGCGTAAAAATCGTCTGTCCTCTGTTGCAACACTCACTACTGAGTTCCAAACTACCTCTGGAAGCAACGTCAGCACAATAACTATTCGTCGGAAGCTTCATGAAATGGGTTTCCATGGCCAGGCAGCCGCACACAAGCCTAAGATCACCATGCAAAATGCCAAGCGTCGACTAGAGTGGTGTAAAGCTCGCCGCCATTGGACTCTGGCGTGTTCTCTGGCGTGATCAGTCACGCTTCACCATCTGGCAGTCCGACGGACGAATCTGGGTTTGGCGGATGCCAGGAGAACGCTACCTGCCCCAATGCATAGTGCCAACTGTAAAGTTTGGTGGAGCAGGAATAATGGTCTGGGGCTGTTTTTCATGGTTCGGGCTAGGCCCCTTAGTTCCAGTGAAGGGACATTTTAACGCTACAACATACAATGACATTATAGGCGATTCTGTGCTTCCAACTTTGTGGCAATGGTTTGGGAAAGGCCCTTTCCTGTTTCAGCTTGACCATGCTCCCATGCACAAAGCGAGGTCCATACAGAAATGGTTTGTCGAGATCGTTGTGGAAGAACTTGACTGGCCTGCACATAGCCCTGACCTCAACCCAATCGAACACTTTTGGGATGAATTGGAATGCCGACTGCGAGCCAGGCCTAATTGCCCAACATCAGTGCCCAACCTCACTAATGCTCTTGTGGTTGAATTGAAGCAAGTCCCCGTAGCAATGTTCCAACATTTAGTGGAAAGCCTTCCCAGAAGAGTGGAGGCTGTTATAGCAGCAAAGGGGGGACCAACTCCATAATAATGTCCATGATTTTTGAATGAGATGTTCGACGAGCAGGTGTCCACATACTTTTGGTAATGTTGTGTATGTCTGATAACACCATTCAGATCACACAATCTAACCATAGCTGTCTGTGATCGTTAGACAAATGTTTAAATTAATTTGAGAAAAACTAAATAATTAATTGAAAGCTAGAATTGGTGAAATAATCTAATAATTTCCATATTTGCAGTGTAATAATGAATGTTGTACATATGTCCACTCAGAGCCCATGATTTATCTGAAAACCTAAAGATGCCATTATAAAGTTTAGAACGTGAGAGTTACAGGTGCACAGGGATTGTAGATCCAAAGATTCGTAACAGCATATGTGGTTTCCTGACCCTGCAGTACATGTGTATCAGGACTATAGGAGGAGGGACAGAGGAGGGACAGAGGAGGGACGGTTCACACAGCTGTAGCAGTGGCTCAACAGCCTTCCAGGTCGCCACAGACCCAGAACATCCCTTGCTTTGATACCCTCATCATGGAGGACAGCGCAGCAGGCTGTCTCTGTTTTGGTTAGCTTTAGGAAGTCCCCAGAGGGAAACAGTCCTGGTGTGTGTGTCTGTGTTCTAAGGAGTCCTGAGAATTGAGCAGCTGGGTAAATACTATCCTGGTAATGGCTCTTGACTAGAGGTCCCAAGGCCAGGTTTAGAGAGAAGGGAGGATGAGGCTAATTAGACATCAGAAGAATAGCTATTCAAAATGTCCACAGTGGTGCCAGGACTACCTGCTTTCCCATAGTCACTTCCCTGTTGTTATTCTCCTCCTCTCTACAGTGAACCTATTGGACTCCAAAGCCAGCCAGGGGGAGCTGGGATGGATCTCCTACCCATCACACGGGGTGAGTAGTAGACAAATGTATCATGGTTTACACACGTCTTTACATTCTATCGTGTCTGGTCAGCATTCTGTCCTCTGAGCAGATTTGTAGGTTTTAATGGTGCTAAGGACATTTCGAAACAAACAATACAAGCTTATCTTATTTTCTGTAATCCTATGAGCTAAATCAAGTGGTGTTAACCTATGCCTGTATTAGAAGCTAAATCCAGTGAGATTAACCTATCCATAGGTTAAGTATGTGATAGGCTCACCATATGGGTTGGGGAGACAGATTGTGTTTCTTTGTCTTGTTAAAGAGGAGGAGGATCAGCTTGTAATATGGTTTGGATTGTCGGCAAAAACAGAACAACAACACATGTCGATAAAGCCCTAACTAACATAGTAGTACAATAAAGCAATCAAACCTTACTAACTTAGTAGTACAATAACGCAATCAAACCTTACTAACTTAGTAGTACAATAAAGCAATCAAACCTTACTAACTTAGTAGTACAATAAAGCAATCAAACCTTACTAACTTAGTAGTACAATAACGCAATCAAACCTTACTAACTTAGTAGTACAATAAAGCAATCAAACCTTACTAACTTAGTTGTAGGGCTGGGTGATATGGCCAAAATAATTCAATTTATTTTAAAGGTATGATGGTATTTGACGGTATTTGATGTTTTTGAATAATAAATAATACAAGTTCTAAATTTGCTTTATGAGTAGGGCGTGACCCTACTGTGGCAAGACATACATTCTAAGTGATTTCAATGGGTCTTTCTCCATTCTGATTGTTTTATACTGTTCAATTCAACTTCAACCAAAAATTATTTCCTGCACTTCCATCAATTTTTGCATTTTCTGCACTCATTTGAGATAATTTCCACACTGGGCAACAAAAACGAAGCCTTATTTTTTTACCAAATGTTTCAAATGCGATTTGACTTTCGATTTAGATCAAAACAGATCAAAACACTGTTCAAGCAACAACAAATGTGCTCCTTGAGTGGCAAGGGGCGGGGCTATGTCTGTGTGGAAAGCGGCATGGAGAGAGAGCGGAGAGGAATGACTTAAGTAGCAGTGTAAACTATAAAAATGGACATTACACGCGGCATATCACATTTAACAAACCAAACATTCAAATACTGTTATAGAAGGTAAAGTAAAAACCCAAACCGGTCTGTGCATCAATACCGATATATAGTCAAATATGGAATACCGCCCAGCCCTACTTAGTAGTACAACAAAGCAATCAAATCTTACTAGTAGTACAACAAAGCAATCAAACCTTACTAACTTAGTAGTACAACAAAACAATCAAAACACAAAACTGCATGACTACCTTCCCTTCCCTAATCCACCTACTTCCTCCTGTGTCTCTACCAATGCCACGGTCTGAGTCTGCGTGTGTGTGTGGTTCTGTGTGGGGGTCTACTGTGTTTATTTGTCTACCCGTTATAGGACTGGCCTCGTGGGCTGTAGCAGCCAATTCCTCCTCTGAACTTTATTAAGTGTTGGCTGGCTGGAGCTGAAGGTAATCCACTCATTTGTTCTATAGAGCTGCCAGCCCTGGTTTCCCCCAGCTATATATTAACTACCGGCACTATAAAACCTAGAGGTTATTTTATAAGGTTGAACCAAACACACTTACAGAACACTGACTTTTAATGTTTCATGCTTATTTTGGACCGGGTTTGAGGCCAGGTTTGGGTAATTGACATAACCTTTGAGAGTGGGAACTCCTGTAGGTAAAGTTAGAAAGATTCAGATTCAACATGCAGTGAATGGGTTCAACTAAGGTACAGTTCATAGATACACTACTGAATCATTCTGCAGAAACCACTGCCTGCTGTGGTCTTGAACGGTGAGAGAGAGGGGGATGAAGAGAGAGGTAGAGAGAGAGAGCTGGATGAAGAGAAAGGTGGAGAGAGAGAGAGTGCTGATGATCAAGTCCTCAAGGTGAATCATGGGTAATTACTCATGTCGTTGGCTGACGGCGGCTGATAAGCATTCTGTCCTGAGAGCCAGTCCTTCTGAAATTATTTCTCAAAATACGGTGGCATGGGGCCACACACACACACACTGACAGTGACAGATGGGCCCCTGGTCTTCTGCCGCTGTAAGCAAAGTGATACCCAGTGTTAAGGCACAAAATGCTCCGGTGTTACAGCAAAAACAGCACCCTAACCCCACTGTGCACCCTAGACTCATTCTAATTCAGTCATGGCCCTGGGGTGTGTGTCACGGTCACTCTGGTGTCGATTAGGAGTTCTTGATGACTCATTGTAGATTAAGATGTGGACGACCTCATCATCATGGTGCCCTCAGCAGGCCCATGTTTCACATCTTTGGAAGGAGAAATCCCTAACAATTTACCCCCACCAATTTACAGATATATTCCACATTGTCTGAGGAATCAGAGGAGGAACTCGTCTCCCACTGAATATCAAGTCTGGAATAATAAGAAACTCTATATGGTGCTGGGAGCCTGAGGTCTGGGCCTACAAAAACCTGTACATACTATGCACTCTTGGCATCGCCTTATCCACACTACATTACTGTTCTCCAGTCCAGAGCCTAATGGCACAGCTCTTTTGGCCAGCGTCCACCGCTCCTCAGTCTCCATGTATTGTAATACCCAAACTCATTTAGTCACCATAGCACCATATTCCCCCAAATACAAACTGACTGACTGACTGAGTGAGAGGCCCCCAGCTGCACTGGGAGAGAAGAGAAAAGCCTGTCCGTAAACGAGAGATTAGCACATGGTGAGGCCTGGAGAGGGCCTGCTATAGAGGGGGACTGTAGGGCTGTGGGGGGGGGGGGGGGGGGGGGGGGGGGTTATGTTATGGTTTCTCTCTGGTCAAAGCTGTGATGAAAAGCTTCTGAGTTCTGTCATGGTGAGCCAGATCAGGAAACTAAAGCTGCTCTGCACTTGTTTTTTCTCTGGTTACTACCACACTGTGGGAATGGAGTCCCCTGTAGCTCAGTTGGTAGAGCATGGCGCTTGCAACGCCAGGGTTGTAGATTCATTTCCCACGGGGGGCCAGTATGAAAATGTATGCACTCACTAACTGTAAGTCGCTCTGGATAAGAGCGTCCGCTCAATGTCTAAAATGTAAATGCAAATTAGAGAGAAAAATAAAGAAAGAAATTACTTGTCTCAATCGAGCAGCTGAACCGGACTCCTTATTGGACATTAGTCAGATCAATGAAGCTTCAGATTTCACCACTGACCTCTCTGTTGGGTCACAGCCATTGATATCAGCAGTCAGGCCCCATTACATTTCTAACCCCTGAATACATTGATTCAAACTGTAAATAATATACATTGTTTCAATTTTATGTTCAGAAAATACCTTAGATGGTTGAAAACAAGGCAACATCAAAATTATGTACAAATATATCTGTTATCTAAATGTCATTGGCCAGAAGCTGTGTCCCTCAGGCCTTTGAAGTGGCCTGTGAAGCCCGCTGCTTGGTCAGTTGGTCAGAGTGTCTGATCATTATGTGGACCAGCCTCAGTGTCTCAGGTTCCCCCTGGTTTTACTGCAGCAGCCTGCTCTACCTACAGCACAGATCACAGAGCCCTGCAACTCCCATCAGCCAGGGTTATGTCCACTCCCCCCCCCCCCCCCCCCCCCCCCCCTGACCTGGGTCAGAGTTCAGGGGTAGGGTCTGAATGTTGTTTTATATCAATTAGTGTGAGAGAGTTGTCCTGACATATAGAAAAGTGGTGTTGCTAGTTTTAGACCCCTAACACTGCTTGACACTGGCCTGCTACTGGCCACATAGAGCACTTTCTGTCAGTCACTCTGTCACTTTCTCTCTCTCGGTGTGTTTCTCTCTGGAGCACACACACTCGTTCTCTCCTTTTAATAATGGAAACCCAGTAACTGTAATTCTGACCTCACAGGCATTTAAATTAAGAGGATGAGTATGGAAACTGAGAAACTTGTGTGTGAGAGTGTATGCACTTGTATGTATGTGTGTGTGTGTTGTGAGTGTGTGTCTGTGAAGGCTAAATCACAGGGGTCATGTATATGATACTACCACAGGGCTGTAGACATGTCAGTCTTTTCTAACTAATGTAATTCCACTGTAACGTGATCAGGAGAAGGATTATAACGTTATTTCATATCTCCCTATCTGAAACACCACCTCTCCTTTCTCACTACCCCGCTGCCAGCGACTCAGCTAGCTGGCAGCTTGTGTGTGTGTGTGTGTGTGTGTGTGAGCATGCTTGTTGGCCTGCCTTCATAGCCAGTGCACACAGGGGAGTCGTGTTAGGGCTTTGCCAACTGCTGGTTTAACCGTTTCATTTCTCTCTCTCCTCTTTCCCCCTCTCTCTATCCCCTCTCCCCCTCCTGGTTGGTATCAGTGCTGTAAAGAGATAGTATATACAAGCCCAATGTCATCATCACAGCTAGAGAGGAGCGAGAGGCTGTACAGTTGAGAGATGACGTCTCATGCTGTGCATGTGTGTGTGTCAAAGACATGCAGAAAGAGAGGAAGAAAGAGTAAAAAGGAGGAAGGAATAGTGGAAAGGAGCGAGGGAAGGGTGAAGTCTGTCATAATGATGTAATGTATGGCAGGGGCTGGTCCATGTAATATGTTATTCTGCAGTGTATGATCAGCACATCGTATAAGAACTTTCATTTGTTTTGGCAGCAGTGGTTTAAAGCACAGTAATTCTCTGGAATGGGATGATACAGGCACACACACACACACGCACGCACACGCACGCACACACGCACACACACACACACACACACACACACACACGCACACGCACGCGCACACATACACACGCGCACACACACACACGCGCACACACACACGCACACACGCGCACACACACACACACACACGCACACACTGCAAGTCTCAGTTACTCTGAGCTGCCACCTGGATTTCATTTCTAACCTCTGCTTCAACCGCCCCTCTCTAACCGCGCTGGCAAGCCTGTGTGTGTGTGTGATCCTATTCCATTGTGTGTGCATACCAGAGAACTCACACAAAGACAGCATTAGTGGAAAGAGCCAGCACTAACAATTACATTTGATCTATTTCAATTTGCATCATATCGCTCTACATGAAGACACATAAACTCATAATACTATAAACCCTGTTCCCTAGATCCCACAGTGATCTCCTTTCAGAGCGAGAGAGCAAGGTTTGTTCGTACCCTTGTGCCTTAAAGCTAAAGGTCTGTGGAAGGAGGAGAAAGAATCCTCTCTAATTCTGTAAAGAGACTTCCATATGTAGAAGATGTGTGTGAAAATAATACCTGGCTTCAACAGAGGCAATCAGAGAGAGGGAGGGAGCGCAGAGAAGTTATGGTTGTTGACAGAGCAAGAGAAATGGGGGACGGATAAAATAAGAGAAATTATGAATGCTGTTGGTTGCCAAGTAAATCACTATTATTGTAATAGAAAACACACTCTGTTCATAACTAAAATGAAGTTCCACTTACCCAGAGCAGACATCTGTGTGTAGGAGAGACTCATTCATTCATTCAGCCACTCACTGACTGATGGAGAATAATGTAATTTAAAGCCATACATTAAAATAAGTGTCACTTTAGCCACAATAATAACCATTGTTCAAGTGTTTCCCTATTCATCACAGCTTTGATTCAAAGTTTAACCGTTGGGACAGGGAGACTAAACTACATGATGCATGATTATCCTGGTGTGTTTAGAATAAAGAAATGGAATGACTTTCTTTCTCTCTCCCCCTTTCTTTCCTCCCTCTCCCCCTCCCCCTCTCTCGCTCTTCTCAGTGGGAGGAGATCAGCGGAGTAGACGAGAACTACACTCCCATCAGGACCTTCCAGGTGTGTAACGTGATGGAGTATAGTCAGAACAACTGGCTGAGGACCAACTGGATCCCACGCCAGTCAGCCAAGAAGATCTACGTGGAGCTAAAGTTCACCCTGAGAGACTGTAACTCCATCCCCCTGGTCCTGGGGACCTGCAAGGAGACCTTCAACCTGCTGTACATGGAGACAGACGAGGACCAGGGCAGCCGCTTCAGAGAACACCAGTTCTCCAAGATCGACACCATCGCTGCAGATGAGAGCTTCACCCAAATGGACCTGGGGGACCGCATCCTGAAACTCAACACGGAGGTCCGGGAGGTGGGGCCTGTTACCAAGAAGGGCTTCTACCTGGCGTTCCAGGATGTGGGGGCGTGTGTGGCGCTGGTGTCAGTCAGGGTGTACTTTAAGAAGTGCCCGTTCATCGTTAGGAACCTGGCCTCCTTCCCTGATACGGTGCCCATGGACTCTCATTCATTGGTGGAGGTGAAGGGCTCGTGTGTCAATCACTCCAAGGAGCAGGAGCCACCACGTATGTACTGTAGTACAGAGGGAGAGTGGCTAGTGCCCATAGGGAAGTGTCTGTGTAACGTCGGCTATGAGGAGAGAGGGAGCTCCTGCCAAGGTAAGACAATTTTACTACTCCCTGTACTACTTTTGTATTCTGTATTTCTTTTTTTCTTTTGCCCTCTGGTTTTTTCTCCCCCTCTTTCTTCCCCCTCTCTTTTTATTTATTTCTTATTTTATCTCTCTTTCACCTCCCTAACTCTCCATTGCTGAAATATACATTCCTAGTCCATACTGAACATAGGCTCTGAGTGTATATAGTACCTTGTTATGTTTTGAAAGCACGGTTTCAGCTGTGATAAAGTTCTGATCTATTACACAGATACACACACCTCATATCGGCCATCTCTGGCCTTCGCTCTAACCACTAGAAGCCCAGTATGGGATGTGTGTATGAGGATTTGGTGAGGAGTTCTGTGTGTGTCTGGTAGAGGGCCCAGCTTGCAGTAGTTATATCAGTGAGCTCCTCCTCTCTCACCTCATCAGGATGGAGGAAGGACCAGTTCTCTGTGGGTCTGTCTGCTGTTGGAGGCCATGAAGAGAGGGGGATATCAGAGGAAAGGGTGTGTGCTGCTGAGGACTGGGACATGATGGGGATCTGGGCTGGTGTTTTGGGTGTTTTGACATGGGTGGAGGGCTGGGAAATAGGCCTGGAGAAGATTATGTTATATGATATGGTGTGTGCAAAGATATGGTGATATGATGAGATGGTGTGTGTAAGGGGAACTTTTTGTTCCAATTGGAGAACTGTGCCCAGAGAAATGACTACAGCTCAGAACGCCAAGAGACCATCTACTCCTCTTCTCTCTTTTCAGAAGGGAATGTTTTCTGTGTTGAGCGCTGTGTGAAGATATTGATCCACTTTCAGTACATTCACTATTCTATGTATGAGTGAGTGGAAGGATGAATGAGTCATGTTTAATTGAAGATCAAAGGTAATCTCCTAGGTCAAGTTCTGGTGTCAATGGTAAGAAAGAGAGAAGCTCCTTCCCTTCCTGTCCCATTATCTGGAGAGAAACAAGTGAAAGGAAGACAGACAAACCTCTCTGGGTCTCTCAGTCTCTGGGTCTCTCGGTCTGTCGTTCTCTCTGTGTCTCTGTCGCTCTCTCTCTGTCTCTCTCTCTCTCTCTCTCTCTCTCTCTCTCACTCTCTCTCTGTCTCTGTCTCTCTCTGTCAGTGTGAGTAGTGTGAATGTTTGGGTGTATTTGACAATCTCTTATTAGTTTCACTGACTGCTAATGGAGTCTAATAAGGGCTTATGTTACGCTGGTTGTGACAGCTGCACTGTGACACACACACACACACACACACACACACACACACACACACACACACACACACACACACACACACACACACACACACACACAGCCCCCCATGTATAGCGACAGTGAGGGGCCCAGTGCGCAGCTCAGCCCCCAGTGTTAACAGACAGATGAGTGTTGAGGGGCCAGTGTAGCGTGCGGTGGGTAGCAGAGTGGCTACGCTAACACTGGGATATGTTTAGGTTTCCAGAACTACTTCTCCTATTTGTGTGTGTTTTTGTAACTCTGAGTCAGATGTAGAGAAAGGCTTTACTTCACTGAATATTTCATGGAGCGTGTTTTCTTTTAGATGTGACGCAGCATCTTCTATTTGTCTTTGCAGGGTGTGTTTATGTGTGTGTGTGTGTGTGTTTCTGTTTGTACTGCGTGCCTGTGTATGTTTTTATTTTTGTGATTTTTGGGAGGGTCTGTGTATGTTTGTATAGGCCTCAAATAGTATTTTATTTGTTTATTAGGATCCCCATTAGCTTTTGCAGAAGCAGCAGCTACTCTTCCTGGGGTCCACAAAAACACAAAACATGACAAGCAACAAAACACTGAAACACTGAGGGACAAGAAAAGTCACACAAATGTAAAATACAATGATATACAGTTGAAGTCGGAAGTTTACATACACCTTGAAACGTAGTATTTAACAGTAAATACATTTAACAGTCAAAACTACAGTATATGGTGTTTGTGTGTACAGTTGAAGTTTACATACACCGTAGCCAAATATATTTAAACTCAGTTTTACACAATTCCTGACATTTCATCCTAGTAAAAATGCCCTGTCTTAGGTCAATTAGGATCACCACTTTATTTTTAGAATGTGAAATGTCAGAATAATAGTAGAGAGAATTATTTCTTTCAGCTTTTATTTCTTTCATCACATTCCCAGTGGGTCAGAAGTTTACATACACTCAATTAGTATTTGGTAGCATTGCCTTTAAATTGTTTAACTTGGGTCAAACGTTTTGGGTAGCCTTCCACAAGCTTCCCACAATAGGTTGGGTGAATTTTGTCCCATTCCTCCCGACAGAGCTGGTGTAACTGAGTCAGGGTTGTAGGCCTCCTTGCTCGCACATGCTTTTTCAGTTCTGCCCACAAATGTTCTATAGGATTGAGGTCAGGGCTTTGTGATGGCCACTCCAATACCTTGACTTTGTTGTCCTTAAGCCATTTTGCCACAACTTTGGAAGTATGCTTGGGGTCATTGTCCATTTGGAAGACCCATTTGCGACCAAGCTTTAACTTCCTGACTGATATCTTGAGATGTTGCTTCAATATATCCACATAATTTTCCTTCCTCATGATGCCATCTCCTGCAGCAAAGCACCCCCACAGCATGATGCTGCCACCCCCGTGCTTCACGGTTGGGATGGTGTTCTTCGGCTTGCAAGACTTTTTCCTCCAAACATAATGATGGTCATTATGGCCAAACCGTTCTATTTTTGGTTCATCAGACCAGAGGACATTTCTCCAAAAAGTAAGATCTTTGTCCCCATGTGCAGTTGCAAACCGTAGTCTGTCTTTTTTATGGCGGTTTTGGAGCAGTGGCTTCTTCCTTGCTGAGCGGCCTTTCAGGTTATGTCGATATAGGACTCGTTTTACTGTGGATATAGATACTTTTGTACCTGTTTTCTCCAGCATCTTCACAAGGTCATTTGCTGTTGTTCTGGGATTGATTTGCACTTTTCGCATCAAAGTACGTTCATCTCTAGGAGACAGAACGCGTCTCCTTCCTGAGCGGTATGACAGCTACGTGGTCCCATGGTGTTTATACTTGCTTACTATTGTTTGTACAGATGAACGTGGTACCTTCAGGCGTTTGGAAATTGCTCCCAAGGATGAACCAGACTTGTGGAGGTCTACAATTTGTTTTCTGAGGTCTTGGCTGATTTATTTTGATTTTCCCATGATGTCAAGCAAAGAGGCACTGAGTTTGAAGGTAGGCCTTGAAATACATCCACAGGTACACCTCCAATTGACTCAAATGATGTCAATTAGCCTATCAGAAGCTTCTAAAGTCATGACATCATTTTCTGGAATTTTCCAAGCTGTTTAAAGGCACAGTCAACTTAGTGTATGTAAACTTCTGACCCACTAGAATTGTGATACAGTGAATTATAAGTGAAATAATCTGTCTGTAAACAATTGTTGGAAACATTACTTGTGTCATGCACAAAGTAGATTGCCAAAACTATAGTTTGTTAACAAGAAATTTGTGTGTTTGAAAAACGAGTTTTAATGACTCCAACCTAAGTATATGTAAACTTCCGACTTCAACTGTACAAACAATGCAACTAAAAAAAGATTTTAAAAAATACAATTAAAAAATAATGTGTGTCTGTGTGTGTTTGTGTGTGTCCCGTAACAGTCCCCGCCATTCCATGAGTTGTTTTTTAAAGGTAATTTTGCTGTTTGGTTGAGTAATTGGAGATGGGCGTTCCATGCGATCATGGCTCTGTATAAAACTGTGCGTTGCCATGAATTTGTTTCGGACTTGGGGACTGTGAATGGGTGTCTGAGCTGAATGTTATTTGATTATGCAGACAATCGGGAATTTTTGTCACAATAATATTTATCATAAAAACTAGGAGAAGCAGTTAATCTTTTGTCAACCCTCAACCAGGAAAGACTGGCATGCATGTTGTTGATGTTAGTTCTGCATGTGCAGTTAAAGGCACGCTACTCTGTTTTGAGCTAGCTGCAGCTTTGCTAGGTCTTTCTTTGCTGCACTTGACCATATTACTGGACAGTAATTAAGATGGGAAAAGACCAGAGCCTGAACAACTAGTACAGTTGATTTTTGTGCATTCATTTTATAACAGACATACCCCTCCCCATCTTCACAACAACTTTGTCAATATGAGTTGCCCATGACAATTGACCATCCGATGTTATACCTAGGAGTTTAGCTTCCTCAATTTACTCAATGGTCACACCCTTTATGTACAACTCCAGTTGAGATTTAGCTCTTAGAGAATGTTTTGAGCCAAATACAATGCTTTTAGTTTTAGATGTATTTAAGACCAGTTATTATTAATAATCCATTCGGATACTGACTGTAACTCCTTATTTAGAATTTCAGTGAACTCACTGGCTTTGGGTGCTGACATGTAGTCGGCCTACATAGTCATTCTAGCTTTGTGTAAGACCAGTTTCAAATTATTTGTAAAAATAGAGAAGAGCAACACCCAAGTTAACCACTCTGAGGGACACCGCAATGTACATATCTGATTTTAGAGAAGCTTCCATTGAAGAACACTCTCTGGGTTCTATTGGATAAATAACTCTCCAACCATGTGATGGCAGGTGATGTAAAGCCATAGCAAGTGAGTTTTTCAATAACAATTTATGATCAATAACATCAAAAGCTGCACTGCAATCTAACAATACAGTTACAAATATCTTCTTATTATCCATTTATTTTAACCAATCATCAGTCATCTGAGTCAGTGCAGTACAAGTTGAGTTCCCTTCTCTATATGCATGCTGAAAGTTATGAGTTAACTTGTTCCCTGAAAAATAGCATTGTATTTGATCAAGCACAATCCTCTCCATCAGTTTACTAAGAACAGGCAGCAAACTGATTAGGCAGCTGTTAGAGCAAAGGGTGCTTTACTATTTTTAGGCAGTGGAATTACTTTAGCTTCCTTCCACAAAGGTGGACACACACTCCTTTAGGCTTTGGTTAAAGATATAGGGGTAGCAATACAGTTTCCTACCATTATCAATAGTTTCCCATCAAGGTTGTCTATACCTGGTGGCTTATCATTATTGATGGATAACAATAGTCTTTCCACCTCTCCAACACTAACTTGACCAAATTCAAAACAACAATTCTTCTCTTTCATTATTAGATATTTTATACAAAAGTATGATGGTTCACTGTTCAATGTTGTCATTTCACTTCTGAGTTTTTCCACTTTACTAGTGAAATAGTCATTGAAATTATTGGCAAATACTGACTGTTAGCACTTGGTGGCCTATAGCAGCACCCCAAAAGAAGAGGCTATAGATGAGGCAGGTGAACTTGCAACCACAACACTTAACAACATTTGACATGAGATCCTCTCTAAGATTTACAGGAATATGGCTCTGAACATATACAGCAACACCTCCCCCATAGGCATTCCTGTCTCTTCTGTAGATGTTATATCCCTGTATTGCTACTGCTGTATCATCAAAGGAATTATCTAAGTGAGTTTCAGAGATGGCCAGTATATGAATGTTATCCGAAGTTAGCAAGTTATTGATATCATTAACCTTATTTCTAAGGCTACATGTATTAATATGGGCTATTTTTAGCCCTTTCCTTGGTAGCTTATCGGAGATAATATGGAGACTAAATAAATACATGTGTGTGTGTGATGTTGGGCTGAAGCTACTGACTTGGAAGCTAGGCTCTCTCATTCCTCCATTGGGAGTGCAGCTTCACCTCAATCTTCATATGATCCATCTGCAGCTTTTCAATGATATTTTGTCTTACTTTCTCCTCAGACTCGGCCCAGTTCTCATGCAAAGACTCTGGTATGCCATCCACAACGATGTTATTCCTCCTTGATTGTCCCTCTAGTCTGTTTTCCCAGTCATTGTTAATAATGATTCACAGACAGTGCTGATGTCATCTCGAGAGGACTTACAGTTTGTTGTCATCTTGCTGCAAGTCTCTTTCAGGACATCCACCTCTCCTTGGGAGAACTGCAAACTGTTCTTAAGGTCCTGGATCTCTCTGGTCAGATGGTCCATTATTTTGTTAGTTGAGTCCATCAGTATTTGGACAAAGCTCTGGAAGCTATTTTCCTGTTGTAACAACTGCTTGTAAAACACTTTTTGTTCAATTCAAATATATTTCACCTGTGATAGAGAAACACTGTCCTCTCCATGACTCCCACCTTTGGTTTTGGATGCCATGGTAGCAACGTAGGCTAACGCTGGTACTCCACGCAGTTCCAGACAGGGCAGGTCGCAGGGCAGATTTAAACAGCAACATTCAGCAGGGATTTAGACAGGCACAAGCCCGCGACAATCCGCGGTCCCAGTCAAGGAAACCTTGCTAGCTTGATAGCTAGTTAGCATTTAGGCTAGCTGCTACTCAGCTCTCCCTAGACAGATGTAGCAGTCCCAGCAACTGATGCTAACCGCATCGCAGATTCCAAATTCAAAAGATAGCTAGTAACCAAACCTTTTGAATAGAACACTTTCAAAACAACAGACCGAGCTATCCCTCGTTCCGTGTACAACACGTGACGATGTTCTGTACCAAATGGTCTGTACCAGATTATGTGGGGTGTTGTATTTAACTGTCATAATTATCTCGTGCTATAGCTCTGTGTGTTTGTTCAGAGATGTGTGTGAAGCTGAGGGATTGTTTTCATAGTGAGGCTTCAAAATAAAATATGAGTTTCGTCCGACTACAAGGGCTTTAGCATACTGCCGCCTGGTGTGTGTTTGTGTGTGTGTGTGTGTGTGTGTGTGTGTGTGTGTGTGTGTGTGTGTGCACAAGATATCAGTCTGACTTCATGTCCCGACGTCCTTGGACAAACGTCTGTTTTTGATGAGTAATCTGACTTAATCTGCCGACGTTCGGTGACAAACGTGTTACATTTAGGCACAAAGAAACAGTCTTCCGACTGGGTTAAGGTTTTGGGTTAGGCTTACAACAGAAACAACTCTAGGGTTAAGTTTATGCATTCATTCTGACTGGTTAATTGAAGGATTAAGGTTCGAGATAGGGTTAAAACTTTAGGCATTCATTCCGACTGGGCTTGCTAAATTGTTGTGGACGGATGGCGGTGTGGTATAAGCCGTGAGCTCCAGCTCCATAGACCGTGGGTTTAATCCCAGTGGATTTAATCCCAGTGGGTTCAATCCCAGTGGGTTCAATCCCAGTGCGGGGCATTTATCAAATAAAACAAATATGTGTGGCCAATTTTGACGACGTTTCCGTCCTGGGGATCTGCACAAACATCGAATTTCGCCTTGTATCTGGAGTGATCCCTCTGGTGTGTGTGCATGGATGCATTTCTGCATTAGAAGCAAAGTTCAATAGACATAAAAGGACTTTAAATTCTTTGTCAGTAATATAACATTGTCTGATCAGTGAAGGTCACTTCATCCAGGTGGATCTAGATCATCTAATAGACTGTATCTGCCTCAGCCAGAGAGATGATGAGACACTTCACATTTTCATAAGGGAGTTCTGTGCAGTTTTGAGGACAGAAAATGACACTATAGGAGTCCACTGGTGGAGTGACACTGTCCTCTGGTGTTACATTGGACTGAAGCAGGTGATGTAGTTGATATCTACCATCAGTGTGAAATTCCTACAACCTTAATTTGAGCTTAAAACAGCAAACACAGGGCGCTCAGCAGCCAGCCGGATGTGTGTCACAGTTTGTGTGTGTGTGTGTGTGTTTGTGTGTGTGTGTGTGTTAGCAGCTGTTCGCCAGTTCCTCTGAGACAGACAAGGGTTTACATTCCTGTTGGATTTACCAAGACACACAATCCCCACACACACTAGCCCTTATTACTTAACACACACACACACGCACACACACACACACACACACACACACACACACACACACACACACACACACACACACACACACACACACACACACACACACACACACACACACACACACACACACACACACACACACACACCCTGATTACTTAGCACATTTTATTAAAGCCAGAGTGCAGTGGGGTATTTTAACAAGCCGCCAGTTAAGCTGAGGAGTAACTTTAATTCTGCCTGGCATGAACACACACACACACACACACACACACACACACACACACACACACACACACACACACACACACACACACACACACACACACACACACACACACACACATACACACTGTTGGCAGTTCTGAGCGATGCTGATCTATCGGCTCATGTGATGTTATCTCTAGTTTCTGCAGCTGTGAATGCCCTGTCTTGGTTTATGTGAGATAGAGCACTCTACTTTCTCTTAAAGTACACATTGATTCCCCTTTCAAGGCGGACATTGGCTTTGGAAGTGGTTTGGACTAGCGTAGAGAGACAAATTGGTCCCTTCAACTAAACACTGATGTTCATTAGCCTGATCATCTGTAACACAACGACGGGCCAGTACTGGGTCTCTGTCAATATGGGCTCTGGTCATTATGGAGTTGTAACTGTGTCACTTTTTGATGTGTAGATATTTGCGCATGTTTTGGGTCTTTTTTTAGGCTGTGGTTGTTTTGGGAGCAGTAGTATAGCTAATGATGCAGTGTTGTGTAATATTGAGTTAATATTGAGTTGGGGGTTGGATGGGATGGGAGGGGGGCTTGGATGGGAGGCAAACAGCAGGACTGGGGGGTTGGTGGTAGCCCGGGTGCGAGCAGGGAATGGGTCTCGGTTTGTTGACGGTTTTAGCTGTGGAGGGAAACGGCAGGACTGCTCAATACTGCTCATACATTGCTGAGCGAATAGTGCTTTTTGAGGTCATTTCGGTTTGATTATACACATTTTAAAAACGGTTTTCGGTTTCAATTTTTTTGGGGAACATTAAATGCACTATGCATTATGTGGGTTGAATGCTGTAACACAGAATAAAACAATTAATACAAGTCCCATGATGGTAGTGACTAGGGCTGTGGCGTTTAGCAAAGAAACAGGTATTCCTATATGCTTAATTTAGAGTTATTTATGTAACTTTAGTTATGATACAAACGTTGGGCTATATGTTTTGATTTTTAATACATTCTAAGGCTGCATGATGCAACTCTAATGATGATTTGAAAAAAGTTGCATGAAAGGCATGAGGTCTGCTTTGTTTTTTTCGCAGGCTCTACACACTTCATCAGTCTCTCATTCACAATTTGACAAGCACTTGATAATGCCTCGAATTTCCCGGCTGCATCCCCTTTGTGTGGCCGTAATGCCCCCTAAAACAATCCATGCCTTTTGCGGCCAGTGGCCGTTGTGCCCTTGGGCTGAATACACAGTGGGGGAAAAAAGTATTTAGTCAGCCACCAATTGTACAAGTTCTCCCACTTAAAAAGATGAGAGAGGCCTGTAATTTTCATCAGCGGTACACGTCAACTATGACAGACAAATTGAGATTTTTTTTCTCCAGAAAATCACATTGTAGGATTTTTTATGAATTTATTTGCAAATGATGGTGGAAAATAAGTATTTGGTCACCTACAAACAAGCAAGATTTCTGGCTCTCACAGACCTGTAACTTCTTCTTTAAGAGGCTCCTCTGTCCTCCACTCGTTACCTGTATTAATGGCACCTGTTTGAACTTGTTATCAGTATAAAAGACACCTGTCCACAACCTCAAACAGTCACACTCCAAACTCCACTATGGCCAAGACCAAAGAGCTGTCAAAGGACACCAGAAACAAAATTGTAGACCTGCACCAGGCTGGGAAGACTGAATCTGCAATAGGTAAGCAGCTTGGTTTGAAGAAATCAACTGTGGGAGCAATTATTAGGAAATGGAAGACATACAAGACCACTGATAATCTCCCTCGATCTGGGGCTCCACGCAAGATCTCACCCCGTGGGGTCAAAATGATCACAAGAACGGTGAGAAAAAATTCCAGAACCACACGGGGGGACCTAGTGAATGACCTGCAGAGAGCTGGGACCAAAGTAACAAAGCCTACCATCAGTAACACACTACGCCACCAGGGACTCAAATCCTGCAGTGCAAGACGTGTCCCCCTGCTTAAGCCAGTACATGTCCAGGCCCGTCTGAAGTTTGCTAGAGTGCATTTGGATGATCCAGAAGAGGATTGGGAGAATGTCATATGGTCAGATGAAACCAAAATATAACTTTTTGGTAAAAACTCAACTCGTCATGTTTGGAGGACAAAGAATGCTGAGTTGCATCCAAAGAACACCATACCTACTGTGAAGCATGGGGGTGGAATCATCATGCTTTGGGGCTGTTTTTCTGCAAAGGGACCAGGACGACTGATCCGTGCAAAGGAAAGAATGAATGGGGCCATGTATCGTGAGATTTTGAGTGAAAACCTCCTTCCATCAGCAAGGGCATTGAAGATGAAACGTGGCTGGGTCTTTCAGCATGACAATGATCCCAAACACACCGCCCGGGCAACGAAGGAGTGGCTTCGTAAGAAGCATTTCAAGGTCCTGGAGTGGCCTAGCCAGTCTCCAGATCTCAACCCCATAGAACATCTTTGGAGGGAGTTGAAAGTCCGTGTTGCCCAGCGACAGCCCCAAAACATCACTGCTCTAGAGGAGATCTGCATGGAGGAATGGGCCAAAATACCAGCAACAGTATGTGAAAACCTTGTGAAGACTTACAGAAAACGTTTGACCTGTGTCATTGCCAACAAAGGGTATATAACAAAGTATTGAGAAACTTTTGTTATTGACCAAATACTTATTTTCCACCATAATTTGCAAATAAATTCATTAAAAATCCTACAATGTGATTTTCTGGAGAAAAAAAATCTCATTTTGTCTGTCATAGTTGACGTGTACCTATGATGAAAATTACAGGCCTCTCTCATCTTTTTAAGTGGGAGAACTTGCACAATTGGTGGCTGACTAAATACTTTTCCCCCCACTGTAATAATTATCATTCCCTTCTCCCGGCTGCTTGCGAAGCACCTCTCACTCACATGACTCTCTGTCATGTGATCGGGTCTTTCTCACAGACTACAAGTGAAGACAGACACATCGGGGATGCAACTGTGCGCATCCTTATCCAATTCCGAGGCGCATATTGAAGATATTGGAAGAACTGTCCACATTTACTTTTCGTCAGCCAACAAGAGGAGTAGGCCTAATGAACAGTAAAAGCACTAGCCTATTTCAATCTAATATCCCCCATAGTACAAAAGTTGACCTATTCTATTCTGTGCGAAAACAAATATTGCAAACATACTTTGGGACAGTTGTGGGATGCGATAGATCCCCAAAAAATGTTTTAAGCAATGAGGCTGATGCAACAGATCAGAACATTTAGCTTAAAATGTTGATCAACTATTAGGCTATTTCTTCACATTATAAGCGCAGCAATGTGCACACGGCAGTAGGCTATAAGCGCGAATGTTCCATTAGCAGGAAAACACCATTCTCAAGAGTTACCACAAATGCGGTTATGCATGTAATGCTTTTATTATAAAGGTGCATTTTTATGGTGAAAATTATCTTCCCCAAACTTGAAACTCACGAGCTGCTTATAGAAAGTTGATGGGATCCTCCTCTTTTTAATAGAGGCCATCAAAACTCTGTTTTCTCACGCAATTGCATAGCCTATAGAAATGTTGTGCAACATGAGTTCATGGGCTCTCATGAAGTGTTTGATTAGATTTTCGATTAAATTTGCATTGATGTCAGAGTGATTAGAGGGACAATAGAGTGCTGAGTTCCAGGCAGTTAGCAAGTTTGGTAGGCTACTAATGACCATCAGCAGCATCAGAGCTTGGAGAAGCCTAATTACCGTGACTAAATGGTCACGTAGAATTTGACTGCGGTCATGACTCGTGACCGCTGGTGTGGCGGTAATACGGTCACCGTAACAGCCCCAGTAGTGACTGCCCATTACTGCTTATCACTTATTTACCATTATTTATTCACATTAATTTACTTTAATAAAAACATTTTTTTATTTGATGATTATTTAATTCCAAGTCATCTCATCTCTATAGAGCTGCTGCATATGCTCTCTGACAAATTCACTATTGTAGTAGTTCTTCAAAATAAATAAGGCATATTTTATTTTAACGTCTTAGATCATGTATTTTCAGGTAGAGATACCTATCGAAGCAACTGCTTTCTATCCCTCTTGATCGCAAGTTCTTTCTCCGGCCGCGTTCGAGAGGATCAAAACCACAATGTATCATGGGTCAATTGTGACTGACTGATCTACAAATAATGAGTGTTATTTATGATGCAAGGTGATTTGTAGATTAGTCAGTCGGCTGTCGCCTGCAGTCCTTTTGATGCTCTTGAATACAGCCTCCACACAGACCGGACAAGTAGGCGCGCGCACAATGAATTAGTAGTAAATTACCACGCTTTCTGCTCTAAACTATGTAGAATATTAGCCTGTTGGAAAATACAGCTCCCTACTACATCGCACAGTTCAGGCTTGATCTGATTTATCTCTAGAGAAACTGTACATCGAGCTCACAGAAAGAAAAAACCCAGAAATGGAATAAAAAGAATTGAAAGGACGTCGGTCAATGAGCTGTTTAAAAAACGAAAAATAACAATTTTGGTTAATCGCTCAGCACTAGTGTGTCTGTCTGTGTGTGTGTGTCTGTGTGTGTGTGTGAGTGTGCATTGAGCAGTTTGGGTCTCTCAGAATGCCAGCTCAGGTGAGTTCATGCCTTACACAGCGGACACAAAGAGAGAAAATATACACATGAGCACACAAAGAGGTCTCACACTGGCTTTACTCATACACTGACCTTACTCATACACTGGCCTTACTCATACACTGGCCTTACCCATACACTAGCTTTACTCATACACTGGCCTTACTCATACACTGGCTTTACTCATACACTGGCTTTACTCATACACTGGCCTTACCCATACACTAGCTTTACTCATACACTGGCTTTACTCATACACTGGCTTTACTCATACATTTACATTTTAGTCATTTAGCAGACGCTCTTATCCAGAGCGACTTACAGTTAGTGAATACATATTATAATTTTTTTATACTGGCCCCCCGTGGGAATCGAACCCACAACCCTGGCGTTGCAAACGCCATGCTCTATCAACTGAGCTACATCCCTGCCGGCCATTCCCTCCCCTACCCTGGACGACGCTGGGCCAATTGTGCGCCGCCCATGAGTCTCCCGGTCGCGGCCGGCTGCGACAGAGCCTGGATTCGAACCAGGATCTCTAGTGGCACAGTTAGCACTGCAATGCAGTGCCTTAGACTGGCCTTACTCATACACTGGCTTTACTCATACACTGGCCTTACTCATACACTAGCTTTACTCATACACTGGCTTTACTCATACACTGGCCCTACTCATACACTGGCTTTACTCATACACTGGCTTTACTCATACACTGGCTTTACTCATACACTGGCTTTACTCATACACTGGCTTTACTCATACACTGGCCTTACCCATACACTAGCTTTACTCATACACTGGCCTTACTCATACACTGGCTTTACTCATACACTGGCTTTACTCATACATTTACATTTTAGTCATTTAGCAGACGCTCTTATCCAGAGCGACTTACAGTTAGTGAATACATATTATAATTTTTTTATACTGGCCCCCCGTGGGAATCGAACCCACAACCCTGGCGTTGCAAACGCCATGCTCTATCAACTGAGCTACATCCCTGCCGGCCATTCCCTCCCCTACCCTGGACGACGCTGGGCCAATTGTGCGCCGCCCATGAGTCTCCCGGTCGCGGCCGGCTGCGACAGAGCCTGGATTCGAACCAGGATCTCTAGTGGCACAGTTAGCACTGCGATGCAGTGCCTTAGACTGGCCTTACTCATACACTGGCTTTACTCATACACTGGCCTTACTCATACACTAGCTTTACTCATACACTGGCTTTACTCATACACTGGCCTTACTCATACACTGGCTTTACTCATACACTGGCTTTACTCATACACTGGCTTTACTCATACACTGGCTTTACTCATACACTGGCTTTACTCATACACGTGGCCTTTAGTTTGAAGGATACAGGCTCTGACATGTTTGTGTTGCATTGGACGTACACGCACTCAAACAGAAAGGGTTACTGATTGCCTCTGAGAAAATACACGTAAACACACTGACACAGACCCTGTCAGAGCCCAGAGCTACTGGTGCTTCTTCTCTCCTCATCGATGAGCGCTGAGGTGGACTGAAGCGGTTTCTGAATTGGTCTAAAGTAGGGCTGTGACGATACCAGTAGCGCAATATTTATTCCATGACAAGAATGAAAACGCGTAACAGATTTTTTGGTCCTTTAAAAACCTGCTGTATGTAAAATATTGTGTGCTATAGCTTGGAAAATAATATGTGATATAAAATATATGTGACTCTGGACAACAACATAATGATGTTTGTTTCCAACATTAGGGCTGTTTTCCTAAATAAGTGAAATCCACTTCATGTTTTGTTTTCTTGCCATGATACTAGTAACGAGTATCGCAATACTGGTATCGTCCCAGTCGTAGCCTAAAGTGGTCAGAAATAGATTATAATGGACTCACAGTTAATGCTCTGCGGTGATCTTTGGCAGTCTAGTAGTGGACTGAAGCAGTCTGGAGTGACCAAATAGTCTGTAGCGGTCTGAATGACGCAGGCCTGGCCCAATAGCTCATGGTCCTATGGAATCAAAGCCTAACATGCGTGCCTGAATCAGTGTGCGTGTGTCTTTCTCTTTGTGTGTGTGTGTGTGTGTGTGTGTGAGAGAGAGAGAGAGAGATCAGAGACCAAAGGGGAAAATGATTAGTGATTGGGTGGGGAGTGATAGAACAAATGTGGCATTCAATCAACAAGCATGCACGCACGCACACACACAGTCCTACTCTACTCCCTCAATCACTGTGTTTGTTGGTCCTGGTTATATAAGTGGCAGAACCTCTAGAAGCACAGGCATGCGCATGTTAACACCAGTGATAAAGTTCCTCTAGATTGAACTTCAGCACAGTTTTTGCTTGCAGTAGAGTGTCTTTGTGGTTCTTGCTAGCGCCTCTAACCTCCTCTGTCACCCTGGCTTAGTGTTGGGTCCATCTCCCCCTAACCTTCACTCCCCGGTGTGTTTTCTTGTGTAAGTGTGTGTGTGTCTAACCTCCACTGCCTCTGGGTTCTGTGTTGGCTGGCATTTACCCAACCTGTCAGGCCCAGAGCTGGAGAGAGCATTTTGCCATTGGAGGCAGTTATAATTCTGAGGATCCTTCAGTTTAGTCTCGCAGGGTCTCCTTAGCCAACATAACTTTTCACTAAGGCTTTTCTAGTCAGGAGCAGAGTGGACGTTTGTTCTTGGGATTTGTTAGCCTATATAACCTGGACTGGTTATGGTTTGACACCTTAGCAAGGGGCGAATATCACTCTCACCTACAATAACACACAGACACACGGCTTACCCCCCTGGGACTTCTGCCATTCCCAGGTTTGTCAAAGCCCTTTCATCCTGGAATTATATTGTTCCTAAAGGGAGGTCAGCTCAGCTCCCACATGGAAGCTATCAGAAGGCCTGTGACACACCCTGTGCATGCCAGTTTATGGTTTCTCGATCAGTGACGAGGACACTGGTTCTCCTCCACGTATGTACCTGACCCAGGGTTGTTTCCGTCGTAAAACCCCAGTTTGAATGTTTCTATGGACCTAGATTACTGCACCATGGGCCTGATCACACAGAATATACATAGATACTGCCATGGGCCTGATCACACAGAATATATCTAGATTACTGCCATGGGCCTGATCACACAGAATATATCTAGATTACTGCCATGGGCCTGATCACACAGAATATATCTAGATTACTGCCATGGGCCTGATCACACAGAATATATCTAGATTACTGCCATGGGCCTGATCACACAGAATATATCTAGATTACTGCCATGGGCCTGATCACACAGAATATATCTAGATTACTGCCATGGGCCTGATCACACAGAATATACCTAGATTACTGCCATGGACCTGATCACACAGAATATACCTAGATTACTGCCATGGGCCTGATCACACAGAATATACCTAGATTACTGCCATAGGCCTGATCACACAGAATATCCTAGATTACTGCCATGGGCCTGATCACACAGAATATACCTAGATTACTGCCATGGGCCTGATCACATATAATATACCTAGATTACTGCCATGGGCCTGATCACATATAATATACCTAGATTACTCCAGCATGAGCCTGGATCAGAGCAGCAGTTTTCTACAGCTCAGGGTTCCACAAGGTCAAGTCTCCTGTCAAATACTCTCTCACAACCACCTAACAGGCAAGGCTTTTCACATACTCTGAGCCTGGTACCATTATAGTAGCCTTAAGAGCTTTAGGTATACTCTGAGCCCCGTACATTTAGGATACCTTGAACCTACAATGTCTGATGCCCCAGGGCAACTCTCCATGGCATAAGTAAAGGAGATTGATTGATAGTGATCTGTGTCAGATCGATAACTCTCCTCCAGCCATCACATTTGTAGAACTCCGACTGTTGTGTTGAGACAGAGTTCAGATAAATCCCTCTCAGTGACTGTAGACTAAATATGAATGTATTCTGCTGTGTGTGTGTGTGTGCTTTTGAGGGGAATGCAGATGGCAAGAAGCCCAAGAACACAGAAATAAACAACAGGCACAGAGGAATATAAATACCCCTCCAGAGATATTTGACTTTTCAGAATGCTCTCAACCCCATTCTACTGAAGCAAACTAATTAAAGCGTTTGCAGCCCACAGCAACAACACTGTCTCCAGTCTGCAGTGGCTGGGGGGCTCCAGAGGGAGAGAGAAGCCATCTACAGTACATAACACAGAGTTCAGATCCAAAACATAGAGATTTTATTAAAGAGTCCATTCAGCCAGTCTAACCCAGGAATACACCACTGGGAAGAGAAAAGAGAACAATCGTCTCCAGACCACACCAGCGTGTGTGTGTGTGTGAGGGCCCCTGGCCCCCTGCCCCAGTGCTGTCTGTCTCCAGATCCTGCATGGGCCTCGTAAACCACAGGAGCGCCTATTCACTTCACCAAAGCCTGTTAGCTTTCCAACTGATCTTTTATCAGGTGATCTTCCAGAGGAGGCTGACAGGGCTTGGGGCTAGGCTTGGTGCTAGACAGCAGGCCAAGCACTACCTCTCTACAGCAGGCTCTGCTGCTCTGGTGCTGCTGACTTCAAAGCTGCTAACCACAGGCAAGGAATGCAGCCCCAACACAGGAGAGGGTTGATGGAGGGGGGAGAAGGAGAAGGCTGGAAGGGGGAGTGGAAGGTAGAACGAGAGGGATGGAGGGGTTCGAGATAGAAATGTAGTGGTGTTTGTTTGGGGGGACCCCCAGTGCTGGGTGGGGTGCAGGGTAGAGGGGGGTGTGACAGAGATGGATGAGAGTGGTGTAGCTATGACAGCAGGACACAACCTCACACTCACCCAGAACAGGGGGAGACCGGCTCTATCTGACAAACACAGGGGAGGTAAGTGGGAGACAGGGGGAGGTAAGGGGTAGACAAGGGAGGCCTTTGTAGCTCTGATTGTCTGTTGTGTGATTTCTGACAAAACTGTTATTCATTAGTAGTCCATTGAGGCTGCAGGGCTTGTGTATCCTCCTCTGCCTGTATTGCCCCTTTGAGGCCTGTGTGGCTGCTATGTGTTGCCTGTGTTTAGCTTTCACATGTTCCTGGAACAGCGATGTGGATGTCTGTGGTTTATAGAGAAATGTTGAGGTAAGCAACCAGCAAGAAATGTTGCAGAGCGATGTCCGTTTTAGGTTGACGCTTCAACAACCATTAATCAGAATGTGCAGCAGGGTTACAGATGGAGAAGTAACATTCTACAGTACTGTATCCCTCAGCTGACACTGTCAACCTCCACTTCCAACTGTGTGTGTGTGTGTGTGTGTGTGTGTGTGTGTGTGTCCTTGACCTTGCTGTGAGATGTGTGCTGGTTGCATTGTTTGTCTTCTACATCTTAAAATGAGGTCTGTAGGTAACGCTCCACTGGGATCTATGTGTGAAAAGAACAGGCAGTGAGGTGGAGAGAGGGAGAAAGAGATGATGACCTCCATGGTGAGAGGACGCGCCTCTCCACACACCCCACTCTGTCCAATCAGCAGACGGGGGAAAATGTCACCGTCACGCTGAATTGTGGCGGAAGGGACAGATCACAGAATGAACAAGAGGAGAGACCTTTCCTTTTGTCTCCACCAGCCGGAAAACAAGTAGGACCCAAGGATGCAGTTAGTTCCTCAGTACATGCATCACTCTGGGGTGAGCAGTGTGTGTGTCCTCAGCTGATTAAAGCCGGTCAAGCCTCAGTGATCAGGCCTTTAGCCGTCTCTCCAGTCTGAATGCCAAACACAACAGAGCATGCCCAGACCAGCCATGTGTGGAGACTGGTCAACCTGAGAGACCTGGGGAAAAAGGGATGGAGGAGGAGAGATCTGGGGAAGAGGGGATGGAGGAGGAGAGATCTGGGGAAGAGGAGATGGAGGGGGAGAGATCTGGGGAAGAGGAGATGGAGGAGGAGAGATCTGGGGAAGAGGGGATGGAGGAGGAGAGATCTGGGGAAGAGGGGGAGGAGCAGGAGAGATCTAGGGAAGAAGAGATGGAGGAGGAGAGATCTGGGGAAGAGGAGATGGAGGAGGAGAGATCTGGGGAAGAGGGGATGGAGGAGGAGAGATCTGGGGAAGAGGAGATGGAGAAGGAGAGATCTGGGGAAGAGGAGATAGAGGAGGAGAGATCTGGAGAAGAGGGGGAGGAGGAGGAGGAGGAGGAGGAGAGATCTGGGGAAGAGGGGATGGAGGAGGAGAGATCTGGGGAAGAGGGGATGGAGGAGGAGAGATCTGGGGGAGAGGGGATGGAGGGATGGTGGAGGAAAGACCTGAGGAAGACAAGAACCACACTCTCTCTCTCTGAGTCAGAAAAACCATAACTGTGTTCAGTAAGAATAAATGAGAAACAAAGCTTTGAAACTGAAAATAAAACGGAATGTTCTGGATAAGTTCAGGTATCATCACCTAATGAACATAACCCTGGACTAGAGGTCTTCTAAGGAGAGATTTAGTAGTTATTTTAGATCTATTTCTTGGTAGTTCTTCTTCAGTTTCACAGACCCCATGGCATCCCTCCCTATTCAGTCCTCCCTTTCTTTCTTCCTTCCTTTCACCTCTTCCTCCTAACCCTCCTTCCATCTCTCGATCTCTCCTGGACCTAGAGGATGAAGTTGTGACATGGCTCTTTACAGCAGCTCTGCCTTTGTGTCTATCACCCCACGACTGACGCTGAAATCTATACCTTTTCTCTCACACAGTCATACACACCTGTAGAGGAACATAGGAGCCAACCTTTAAAGGTTGAGATGATGCACAGATGAGAACTCACCTTTAACAGAGGATATTGTATGTGAGATGGGTCCATACGACACACACACAACTGAGGGTGTCCAAGAGGAATTCTTCCACCCCCAGATGCATTTTCACCACTGCCTGTTCAAGTCCAGGGTGGGAGGCATTTGTCAAAGGGAGAGAAGTGTAGGCCACACACTGGTCTAACAGTTCCTCTCTTCCCCACTTCACTCCATTTATATGAACTACTAGACCTTTTCATTCCTGCCGCACCGTAGCTCCTCTTGTGTGTACTGGTGTGTGTACCTATCGTGGTGTGTGTGTGTTCTTGTCTCATGTCATATTGCGTTGTGATGGTGACAGCTCGTTGACAGGGTAATTGGTGTAGGTGGTGTTGACGACTCTGAAGTCTTAACGAGGGAGCTCCAATTAATCCATTGATTTACATTTAAATAGGACCTGAAAGGTTACAGCCTGCTAACTATCATCTGCATGTACTTACCATGCTACTGTCTGACACATATATACACACACACACACACACACACACACACACACACACACACACACACACACACACACACACACACACACACACACACAGGCTTGGGTTTTGCTTGAGCAGTGGTCACCAACCTTTTCTGAGACAAGATCACTATCTGAGTCCAAAAGCAAGCCGAGATCTACCGCTCAGATAAAAAAAAACATAAACCTATGCAACATTAACCTATTAAAAACAGTTCTGTCGCAATGAGGTTTGTGCAGTAGACTATAGGCCCAATACATTATCACTGCATATTGGCTATGCTTGAATTGCCCTGCCAATGTTCTTCTCAGACCACTTTGAAATTATATTTCTAAATAATTGTAGGTATATTATCACACTGGTAATATATCATTTGTTGTATTACTTGTGAGGCACAGCTGAGTGAGCATAATAATTTGTTTTTAAACATTTTGAGTCTGAGTGGAGGGAAAGAGCAGGGGTGAGGCTGCCTCTCACCTGACTCACCGTCCCTCTGCTCTCCCTCCGTCCCTCTGCTCTCCCTCCGTCCCTCTGCTCTCCCTCCGTCCCTCTGCTCTCCCTCCGTCCCTCTGCTCTCCCTCCGCTGAGAAAAGGGGACACAGTCTTCCAGCTGATGGTGAAACTCAAGTTGCACTGCATTATTTCTGCCTCATGCACCAAATCATGTTGTTACTCCTATGACCAGAGAAAGTGAAATATTCCTCTCTTAAAAAAGACACAAGCCACTAATAATAACAACGCAAGCTTATTGAAACACTTTGCTATACTCATTCATTGCAGCTGAATTGCTGGTTTTAGCGTGTGTGGAAGTAGGAAGAACACACATTTTATGGCTTATAAAAGTGTTGAACAAAGTGTTGACAGTGCTGAATAACAACTTAAACATGGTCTTACTTATAAAAACATCAGCTCTTTGCTGTATTCAGTCTCTCTCTAGTCATGTATCAACTTTGCTGTGCGCTCGAGGCTTCTTTTTACAGCCTATGGCTAGAAACTGTGCAGACACAGTAATCTGAGTAGTGGAGGCTCCTCAGAGGAGGAAGGGGAGGACCATTTTCCGCAGTAAATTTCATAAAAATAGTGAAACATTAAAGTTATCCTTTTTAGATAAAACTATACTAAATATATTCACATCACCAAATAATTAATTTAAACACACTGTTTTGCAACGAAGGTCTACAGTAGCCTCAGCAGCACTCTGTAGAGTAGCACCATGGTATAGCCGAAGGACAGCTAGCTTCTGTCCTCCTCTGGGTACATTGACTTCAATACAAAATAAATGGTTCTCACCCCCTTCAATAGACTTACAAAGTAATTACGACAACTTCCGGAGGACCTCCTCCAACCTATCAGAGCTCTTGCAGTATGAACTGACATGTTGTCCACCCAATCAAAGGATCAGAGAATGAATCTAGTACTGAAAGCATAAGCTACAGCTAGATAGGACTGCAGTGCATAAAATGTGGTGAATAGTTGACTCAAAAAGAGAGAAAGACAATAGTTAAACAGTTTTGAACAAATTAATTTCTTCCAAAATTAAGGAGAAGCAAGAAAGCGAGAGCTAGCTATATTTCGTAGTATACTGTATATCTTTTCACTTACTTAGCTAGATTCTAATGCAGCTAGGTTAGTTTAGCCTACTCAAACACCCAGCTCAAACAAAGGGGGATGCTATGTTAGCCTGCTGGCTATGGCTGTCCAACACTCGAACTCTTCCAACACTTTTGGTTTTATAAATGTATTGCCACCTGGGCCCGCCGGTGTAACTGCAAAACTGCTTGTTGCTTACTGCACATTGTACTGCATGATTGTAGCGGGTTTACTAACACGTTAGTTCTAGTAGCTATGTTGTCTATGAGGTGACAATGATGTAGGCTGTGTGTAGCGGTTAGCGGTCATGATATTAAGGTTTGGCTTGGGAAGGTTTTTTCACCTGGTTACAAACAGCTGATGTGTTGTGCGAAGGGAAAAGGTGAGAGGAGGAGAGTGTGTAGATACAGTGCCTTTGGTATTCAGACCCCTTGACTTTTTCCATATTTTGTTAGGTTACAGCCTTATTCTAAAATTGATTAAATTGTTTTTTTCCCTACACACAATACCCCATAATGACAAAGCAAAAACAGTTTTTTAGAAAAATCACATTTACATAAGTATTCAGACCCTTTACTCAATACTTTGTTGAAGCAGCTTTGGCAGCGATTACAGCCTCAAGTCTTCTTGGGTATGACGCTACAAGCTTGGCACACCTGTATTTGGGGAGTTTCTACCATTCTTCTCTGCAGATCCTCTCAAACTCTGTCAGGTTGGATGGGGCGAGTCTCTGCACAACTATTTTCAGGTCTCTCCAGAGATGTTCGATCGGGTTTAAGTCTGAGCTCTGGCTGGGCCACTCAAGGACATTCAGAGACTTGTCCCGAAGCCACTCCTATGTTGTCTTTGCTGAGTGTTTAGGGTCGTTGTCCTGTTGGAAGGGGAACCTTCCCCCCAGTCTGAACCGGGTCTTCCTGCCTCGGTCTCACACATCAAGCGCTTGGGTCCCGCCCAGGACCCTGATTGCCCAGTGGTAACCCTTATCTTAACCATTCTGAATGAGTGCTTAAACTTAACCCTTAACATTTGGAGAAATGGAACGAGCAGCAGGAGCAACAAAAACACTTTGAAATTAGACGTTTGGAGAACTTGGATGAACGTCTAATTCTGCAGTGAGACTGAGCTTGTCACAGGCACACGCACACACACACCACACACACACACAGATGCGCTATCCCTGCATATAATTATATTGAAAATAAGGTGTTAATTACAATGTCATACATTAATCATGGTTGCTAGGCTCATTTGATTACTGATGTTTTATTCTGAGGAATTAATATAATATCATCTGTCAGTTTGAGCCTGCCTCTGCCCCAGCTGACAAGTTAATGCCATGAGATTATCACTGCTGATTTGCTATGCTGAGAGAGATGAACGTGTGTGTCTCTCACTCCATTTATGTATATGTCTTTCTGTACTTGTGAGTTTGTGTCCACTACTATGGCCTGTGTGTTTGACAGTGTGCACACAGTTGTGTGTGTTTTAGTCTGTGTGTATCGATATGCATGGCCTTCTCTACAGCAGTGTCCAGGTTGTAGGTTAGCACAGTGAGAGAATAGCTCATCTTCAGGAGGTGTGTTTGGTCCCTTTCTAAATCCTCCCTGAGCGTTGAGAACAGTGGTGCTGTGATGTGATGCAGGCTCCAAACTGGGGATCAATGGTGATTATCACCAACACTTATCCTCTCTTCTCTTGTCTTCTCACTGACGCACAGCAGATAATCGTCTGCAGGTGTTTGAACAATAACACTGTGTAAATGAGCTAATTAAAATTATCCCTCCTTCCCTCCGTGTGGGTGGGTGGTAAGGTTAGGGATTAGTCAATGTGGAAAGCCAGGAATACTTCAATAGAAAAGCACAAAGCCAACAGTTCTGCTAAATGAGCTGTGCCGTGTCGTAATGATGCCATCTATCACTCCACTAGGGATATGGCAATTGTAAAATTGTTCTTAATGTTTAAACTGCATTTTTAAAAACATTTAAACGATAAGAGAAAATTGTGAAATGACGCGAATTCACAATTCAGATATGATCCTGCGTATGGCCACTAGGGGGCAATGCAATTCAATCTACTACAGTTCTGGCTACTTACCAGACAGCCCTCGCCTTACTATTGTCCCCCACCCACTCAGCAACGATGGTAGTTAATGCCGTTTTAGGTTCTCTGCTGTGTCCCTCTCCTCCATGTTGTAAGTACATGGGACTTCATACCCCATGTCTCATCAATGTGATGCCTCCAGTGTAGCTCAGTTGGTAGAGCATGGCGCTTGCAATGCCAGGGTTGTGGGTTTGATTCCCACGGGGGGCAAGTAGGAAAAATTTATGCACTCACCTAACTGTAAGTCACTCTGGATAAGAGTGTCTGCTAAATGACTAAAATGTAATGGCTTGTTGCAGTGATGTACGACAGCGTGTTCATAGACGTCCAACAATCTGTTGTTAATACCACGTATGGTGTTTGAGGGCTTGTGCTTTGTACTTGCAGAGCAACCATTTTACAATTTCTCCTTCCAGGCCGTCACGGTTTTTCAATATTGCATCTTGTAGTCTGGTTCTAGATATGCCATCAGGGCAGTGAAGCAGACCTCCTCTACCATTGACAATGGCTGCATATCAACTGCAATCATTTCTCTAATCAGCACTGTGATTTTCTAACTCCATCCCTTATCGCACTGCTGCCAGCAACGGGTTGAGTGACGGTGTCTCCCTTTCAGATGGTTACGCATCCACCTGTACTGCCACGGTTTGCATTTATTTCACCACCTTCTCATTTAACTTCTAAAAGTATTGCCAGACAGGACTTTGCTGCTGTCATTTCCCTGTCTCAGTCGCTGCCATTTTTCAACTGTTAATGATGATGATGTGCGGAGCGCTTTATATCCGTGGCAAATAACTAACGTTAAAGCATTGTTGCATTGTGGGTATTTGTTATTTTTTCCCTTTATGATGATGATTGAGACCTGTTTGTTAGTGGTAGTTTAGTGATAACTGCACTGTGATCAAAATGTTGAATTTTTTAAATATATACAGTACCAGTCAAAAGTTTGGACACACCTACTCATTCAAGGGTTTTTATTTATTTTCACTATTTTTTTCATTGTAGAAAAGTAGTGAAGACATCAAAAAAATGAAATAACACATATGGAATCATGTAGTAACCAAAAACGTGTTAAACAAATCAAAATATATTTTATATTTGAGATTCTTCAAATAGCCACCCTTTGCCTTGATGACAGCTTTGCACACTCTTGGCATTCTCTCAGCCAGCTTCACCTGGAATGCATTTCCAAAAGTCTTGAAGGAGTTCCCACATATGCTGAGCACTTGTTGGCAGCTTTTCCTTCACTCTGCCGTCCGACTCATCCCAAACCATCTCAATTGGGTTGAGGTCGGGGGATTGTGGAGGCCAGGTCATCTGATGCAGCACTCCATCACTCTCCTTCTTGGTAAAATAGCCCTTACACAGCCTGGAGGTGTGTTGGGTCATTGTCCTGTTGAAAAAGAAATGATAGTCCCACTAAGCCCAAACCAGATGGGATGGCGTATCGCTGCAGAATGCTGTGGTAGCCATGATGGTTAAGCGTGCCTTGAATTCTAAATAAATCACAGACAGTGTCACCAGCAAAGCACCCCCACACCATCACACCTCCTCCTCCATGCTTTACGGTGGGAACTACACATGCGGCGATCATCCATTCACCCACACCGCGTCTCACAAAGACATGGCGGTTAGAACCAAAAATCTCAAATTTGGACTCCAGACCAAAGGACACATTTTCACCGGTCTAATGTCCATTGCTCGTGTTTCTTGGCCCAAGCAGGTCTCTTCTTCTTATTGGTGTCCTTTAGCAGTGGTTTCTTTGCAGCAATTCGACATGAAGGCCTGATTCACACAGTCCCCTCTGAACAGTTGATGTTGAGATGTGTCTGTTACTTGAACTCTAAGAAGCATTTATTTGGGCTGCAATTTCTGAGGCTGGTAACTCTAATGAACTTATCCTCTGCAGCAGAGGTAACTCTGGGTCTTCCATTCCTATGGCGGTCCTCATGAGCGCCAGTCTCATCATAGCGCTTGATGGTTTTTGCGACTGCACTTGAAGGACTGTTGTTTCTCTTTGCTTAGTTGAGCTGTTCTTGCCATAATATGGACTTGGTCTTTTACCAAATAGGGCTATCTTCTGTATACCCCCCTATCTTGTCACAACACAGCTGATTGGCTCAAATGCATTAAGAAGGAAATCAATTCCACAAATTAACTTTTAAGAAGGCACACCTGTTAATTGAAATGCATTCCAGGTGACTACCTCATGAAGCTGGTTGAGAGAATGACAAGAGTGTGCAAAGCTGTCATCAAGGCAAAGGCTGGCTACTTTGAAGAATCTCAAATCTCAAATATATTTTGATTTGTTTAACACTTTTTTGGTTACTATGTGATTCCATATGTGTTATTTCATAGTTTTGATGTTTTCACTCTTATTCTACAATGTAAAACATTTAAAAATAAAGAAAAACCCTTGAATGAGTAGGTGTGTCCAAACTTTTGACTGGTAGTGTGTATTTCCGTTAGGGATTTTTTTAAACGTTAACGATCCCAATGTAATTTAAACCTTCACACCCCTACACTCCACTCCTCCTCTCCTCCATCTCTCCTCTCCTCCATCAGCCACACTGGAGCCATTAATGTACCAGTCTATTTATGGCTCTATAAAAACACTAAAGAATAGGAGAACAGTCTCACTGGCATGAGAACAGGAGCTATGGGAAAGGGGGAAAGATTGAAAGGAGGAAAGGAGGGAGGCTGTTGTGCCATGTGGAACATACCAAACCATAGCATTCCTGTTTTCCTATTGAGGGAGTGAGTAGAGCAGTAACCCACAGTTCTGACCTTTACATTGGAGTGTGTAACATAGCTCTGCTACTGAACTATGAAATCTACAACCATTTGCCTGTTCAACTCTATAGTTCTTCCGTTGGACTGTGTAAACTGTTCTAGTTGGGTTTTCCCAGGTTCAGGGAGCACAATGTTCTCTGACAGGGTTATCTGGTTCTTTGGTAGCCACTAAAGGGAGGCCCTTCTCTCTCATTGTCCAGCTGGCAGGGGTGCTGTAGGGGGTTTGTGTGTTTGGTTGTGTTTGTGTCCGATTGTGTGTGTGTGTGAGCGTGTGAGAGCATGCATGCGTGTGTGTGAGCACGTGAGAGCGTACGTGTGTGTGTGTGTTTGCGTATGCATGTATGTTTATGTGTGTGTGTGTGTGTGTGTGTGTGAGCATGCATGCGTGTGTGTGTGTTTTGCACGCTCTTGGGGCCAGAGCGAATCAACATGTGTGAACCCAGTAGGGGGACATTCCAGTTGCCCCATGCTTTCCTCAGCCCATTCATCCAGTGTTCAGCTTGACTGTAACAGTATTGTCCTCAGCTCCAGCCTCCTCGCTGCTGGCCCCTAACCCATCAGCCCTACAGCCTCCTCCCTACTAGCCCCTAACCCATCAGCCCTACAGCCATTAACCCTCCAGCCTCTTCCCTGCTAGCCCCTAAACCATCAGCCCAACAGCCCATCAACCATCCAGCCTCCTCCCTGTTAGCCCCTAACCCAACAGCCCATCAACCCTCCAGCCTCTTCCCTGCTAGCCCCTAAACCATCAGCCCAACAGCCCATCAACCATCCAGCCTCCTCCCTGTTAGCCCCTAACCCAACAGCCCATCAACCATCCAGCCTCCTCCCTGCTAGCCCCTAACCCATCAGCGCTACAGCCCAATTACCCCCTAGCCTCCTGCTAGCCCCTAGCCCATCAGCCCTACAGCCCATCAACCCTCCAGCCTCCTGCTAGCCCTAACCAATCAGCCCTACAGGCCATCTGTCTTCCAGCCTCATTCCTGCTAGCCCCTAACCTATCAGCCTTAAAGCCCATCTCTCTTTCTGTCTCTGTCTCTGTGCCTCTGTCAGTCTCTCTCTCTCTCTGTCTGTCTCTCTCTGTCTCTGTCTGTCTCTCTGTTTCTCTCTGTCTCTCTCTGTCTGTCTGTCTGTCTCTCTGTCTCTCTCTCTCTCTCTCTCTCTCTCTCTCTCTCGCTCTCTCTTGCCTTTCTCTCCCAGTGAAAGGGCTGTTCATCACTATTCCATCAACACTCCAGCCTCCTACTAGCCCCTAACCCATCAGCCCTACAGGCCATCTATTCTCCAGCCTCCTACCTCCTACCTGCTAGCCCCTAACCCATCAGCTTTAAAGCCCATCAACCCTCCAGCTTCCTGCTAGCCCCTAACCCATCAGCCCATCAACCCTCCAGCCTCCAGCCTCCTGCTAACCCAGCCATCAGCTGCCTGTCACCTCCCAGGGCAGGCATTATGGTCTAGGAGAGAGGGGATGAGGAACAGGGAAGAGAGTGAGTGTGAGGAGGCCAGTCAAGTCTCTCTCCCAGGGCTAGGCCTCTCTCTGGTTATGTGGTGGTTGACATTGCAGCAGCATGTCGTGTGAGGTGTAGAGGAACACACATCTCCACTTAACACTCTGTTACTTGAACCTAACACTCTGATTCAGTTCTATGTTGAATAGTTTGGTGGGGAGCAGGGTATAGTCTTGCTCGGGATGAAGGTTATTTGGATTGAAGTTCAGTATTTTCTCCCTTCTCTCTTCTTTTTAGTCCCTCTCTGTCCACTCACTGTTCTTTCTACTCTGTCTCTCTGTCTCTCTGTCTCTCTGTCTCTCTGTCTCTCTGTCTCTCTTGTCTCTCTGTCTCTCTCTTCTCTCTCTATCTCTCTCTGTCTCTGTCTTCTCTGTCTGTTTTCTCTGTCTCTTGTCTGTACTCTCTGTCTCTCTCTGTCTTTCTCTGTCTTCTCTTCTCTGCTCGTATCTCTCTGCTTGTCTCTGTTCTCTGTCTCTCTCTCTGTCTCTCTTCTTCTCTCGCTCTCTCTCTGTCTCTCTCTCTGTCTGATATCTGTCTCTTCTGTCTCTGTTTCTTGTCTCTGTCTCTTCTGTCTCTCGTCTTCTTCTGTCTCTGTCTCTCTCTCTAGTCTCCTTGTGTCTTATCTGTCTCTACTCGTCTCTCTCTACTCTGTCATTGCCTCTCTGCTCTCTGTCTCTCTCTCGTCTCTCTACTCCTTCTCTACTCTCTCTCTCTCTCTCTACTCTCTCGTCTCTCTCTCTTCGTCTCTCTCTGTCTCCGTTGTCTCTCTCTGTCTCTCTCTCTGTCTCTCTCTCTGGTCTCTCTCTCTGGTCTCTCTCTCTCTCTCTCTCTCTCTCTCTCTCTCTCTCTCTCTCTCTCTCTCTTTCTTTCTCTCTCTCTCTCTCTCTCTCTCTCTGGCCTTTCTCTCCCAATGAATGGACTGTTCATCACTATTCCAGGACGTAGCTGATTAAATGTGATTAAAGCCAATCCATCCATCAGAAGGCCTTTCACTCTGTCACCTCACTCTGGGGGGACTCTGTGTCTGTGTGCGTGTGTCCATGTTTGTGAGTGTGTGTTTGTACGTGTGCTTGTGCTCTCTCTTCAGATGTCTTTTAGCCTGTGATGGATGTTTCCAGACCATAGATCCACTAATAAAGAGGTCCTCTACTCTCCCTATAAAGATTACAACTCTCCCTATAAAGACTACAACTCTCCCTATAAAGACTACAACTCTCCCTATAAAGACGACTACTATAGGACCTCTCCTCTTTCCCTTACCTCTATTTCCTCTCTATATTCTCTACCCCTGTCAGCTTTCAGCCAAAGTGGTGGTTATGATGAATGACGTTAGAGAGCCCCATTCTGCATTAAATCCCTTTGTCTCAATGACTCTGAAACACTACTGAATGGAGACACAGTGGCTGGGAGGGAGGGAGGGAGGGACAGCTGGTGTGTCTAGAATAGATTAATGACATCTATCAGACTGTACTGGAGGTACCAGTCAAACCCCAGACACACTCACAACACACATAGAGGCAGGCCTACACTCACAGAAGGAGACTTACTGAAGAGCACCTAGCCTGTTTGTCTACTCCTGAATGAGCTTCATGTCTTTATTGTCCTGAAGTGAATGTTTCTTTGACCAATAATACATTATGAGCGTATGTGGGTGTGTGTGTTTAGGAGCGTGTTTGTGTGATTAATGATACAGTGTGAACCTCACCACAAGTGCAGTGATCTATCATCCTGAGATCCAACTGAATAGCTTCTGCCCTGAGGGGGCTGTGTGTTTGTGTGTTTTTCTAACTATGTGTGTCCACTGGTAGTAGAGTAAATATGAGAATTCATAGCGAAGCTATTGGGACCCTCCGTCAGTGTGTGTATACGTGTGTATATCGATCCTTCCTGAGCAGAGGGGCCCACCAAAGGGCTTCCACTGTGTCTGTCTCTGAGCTCCTCTCTGCTGCTTTAACACATACATCAATAAGACTAATACTGATGCTCAGCAGCCAGGAGACAGGGAGGAACCCACAAACACACTGATACACACCATGGTGTGTGAGAGTATAGTTATATTGAATTCAGCTCCTAGTGTGTGATTGATATTTCTTGACTATAAGGTACAGGGGACAAAGTGCAAGGTGAATATTAATGAGTTAGTTTACTTAGCCTCGCTCTCTCGCTCTCTCGCTCTCTCCATCGCTCTATCACTGTCGTGGCCCAGGAGGTTGGAGAGGCGTGTTGCTCCCTCCCAGTCCCCTCCTCCCCTGACAGATAGAGACACAGATAGGTCAGTGTAGCTGTCACTGGGCTAGTCCCTATAGTGACAGATAGGAGTAGAGAGACAGGGACATATCTCTCTGAACATCAATATGGTGACAGGCAGCCTGCTGTATTCACATCCACCTACTGTACACAACACACACATACATCTCCCTGATCTGAGACTATGTTGAGTTAATTTTATTAAACACTGTGTTTGTGTGTTTTTGTAATCAGAATAAAGTAACTACATCATGTAACACTGTGCACATACAGTATACTGGGGCTGTCTGTGTATACAGTGAGTGAATGTATGGATGTTACAATTTATGAGTGAGTTGACAATTTCAGATACATATCAACTTTATTATCCCACCAGGGGGAAATTCATTCGGTCATGTACTTAAAAAGACAGGACATAAAACATTTAAACACAGAACAATACACAATCAAATGTATTTGAAAGTGCGATAGCACACATATTTACAGTGAAAGTGCAATATGCTGTACACTCAAGGGACCAATAGACTATCCATTGTACAGCCTAATGGCTGTTGGAATAAAAGAGTTCCCATATATATCCATTCGGATCTTCTTTTGAAGAAGTCTCATTCCCCTTGTCCAGCTGCTGTTATGACAGAGTTTTGAGTGAAGGAAATGGGTATTGTCCTGTAAAATGCTTTCAAGTTTTTGGAGGATGAGGTTTGTGTACAGGCTGGTGGCTGATTCTTGGTCTATACCAATTATCCTTCCTCCCGCCTTGATCAAGCGCTGAAGCTTGACTTTGTCTTGCGCTCGCATGTTTCCAAACATGCATATCAGACCAAAGGACATCACACTCTGTAGGACAGATTTGTAGAACATTTGTAGTATATGGCGATCAACATTAAAATGCTTTAGTTTGCTTAAAAAAAACATTATCTGTTGCAGTTTCTTTGCCTTTTCCAGGGCACAGTCATTTAATTTCAATGTATTGTCTATTTATATTCCCTGGTATTTATGTGGTCACTCTATCGACTGATTCCCTATTGATAGGGGGTAGTGTAGTTTTATTCCTTCTAAAATCAATTTCCATCTCTTTTGTTTTCTTAACGTTTATTTAAAGAAAGTTATCTGCACACCATTTCTCTGTCAAAACCTGAGAGGTTTGGTCTGGGTGAAGGAAACCCTATAACAGCAGTGTCATCTTCATATTTAAAGAATTTGTGGGCTGGTTCAGAGGCTTTACAATCATTTGTGTACAGTGTGTACAGCACAGGAGGTTGGTGACACCTTAATTGGGGAGGACGGGTTTGATGCCATTCCATTTGCTCCGTTCCAGCCATTATTATGAGCCATGCTCCCCTCAGCAGCCTCCACTGGTGTCCAGGATCGGTGAAAGTACGCAACCTGGCGGGGCTCCTGTATTCACCATTCTAGATGTGGAGATGGCAGAGTTAAACTTCACTTGTTGGGTACGGTTCACAAGGAATCTGTTAATCCACTTGATCAGTAGATGGAGTTGGATGGTATTGTACGCGCTACTGAAGTCAATGAATACAATTTTCACTAGTCTATTTGCCTGTGCTAAGTCATCGTAAATGTTGTTCAGCATGACCAGTAACGCATCATCAACGCCCCTGGAGGCACGGTAGGCAAATTGGTTTGGATATAGTTGGGATGAGACACCAGTGAGAATATGTTTTTGAATAGCGGTACATACTGTATGTCAGGGCTACAGGGCGTAAGTCGTTATTTTCTTTTGGCCTGATGTTTTTAAGGTACTGGGACAAAGCAACTTTTTCCATAAGTCTGGAATTATCCCGCTGTCCAGTGACAGCTGGAACAGCTTTTGGAACGGTAGTGCGAGCTGGTCTGCGCTTGCCTGAGTGCCTTGCTGCTGATGCCGTCTGGACCATATGATTTTCGTGGGTTGACATGTTAAAAGTGTTGCTTGACATCATTCACGGAGATCTGTATATCAATAGCTGGTATGCTGTCTATACAGTCCATAGTCACTTTATGCTGTGATATAAAATCACACGTCAAACCTGCAATAGAAACTGTTCAAATAATTTTCAAAGACGAGGTCCTTATCGACGGTCATGCAATGTCTCTTTCGTTTGTAACCTGAGATGGTTTGTAGCCCTTGCCAGGCTTTCCTGCTGTCATTGTCCCTAAAAAAGTTGTTTTAATTTGTCTTTCTAGGCTGGCTTGCACTGCTTGATCTTGCTTTTGAGTCTCCTCTGAATATTTATCCTCTCCTCTTTACTGCCACCTGATTTAAACACTAATTTTTTTCTGGTTGCTCTTTTAATTCCCGAGTCACCCACGGTTTATTATTGGGAAGATGTCGTCTTCCTTTTTGGGAATAACGAGATCCTCACAGAAAATCAGAGCCAGTATCTGCTGCCTCTTCCAGGTGGTCGGCTCTGTCCGTCAGGGCCGCCCAGTCAGTGGACTCTCTTCCAGGTGGTCGGCTCTGTCCGTCAGGGCCGCCCAGTCAGTGGACTCTCTTCCAGATCGTCGGCTCTGTCCGTCAGGGCCGCCCAGTCAGGGGACTCTCTTCCAGATCGTCGGCTCTGTCCGTCAGGGCCGCCCAGTCAGGGGACTCTCTTCCAGATCGTCGGCTCTGTCCGTCAGGGCCGCCCAGTCAGGGGACTCGAAACAGTCCTGGAGGGCTTCAGGAGCTTCAGGAGCTGCAGGAGTTCATCTTTTTGGCCTTCTCTCGCTGCAGTCACCGTTTTTAGACTGGGATGAGCTGAACAATGTTATGATTTGAACCCCCGAGATTGGTTAGTGCCTTGGAGAAATATGCACCTGGGATGTTACCATAACAGAGGTCCAGACAGGCTTCACCTGGGATGTTCTGGAGTCGAAAGAAACGCACACCTGTTTAGGCGAGGTGCTGGCTAGCGGAGTAGAACACTTGAAAAAGAGAGCCGCACACTAGTATCTCAGATGCAATAATTTTATAACCTAATAACCAACGTTTTGACAGACAAGCTGTCTTCTTCAGGGTATAATGACAAACACTGCGGGTCACTAGTTTATATAGTGTCAAAGGACACACACAGGTGTCTGTAATCATGGCCGGGTGTGGCTTGATGTCATTGGTTAATTTACAGATATAAATATAACATATATATATATTTATTTTTTTCACCTGGGATGTTACCATAAGAGGTCCAGACAGGCTTCACCTGGGATGTTACCATAACAGAGGTCCAGACAGGCTTCACCTGGGATGTTACCATAACAGAGGTCCAGACAGGCTTCACCTGGGATGTTACCATAACAGAGGTCCAGACAGGCTTCACCTGGGATGTTACCATAACAGAGGTCCAGATAGGCTTCACTTGGGATGTTACCATAACAGAGGTCCAGACTGATTTCACCTGGGATGTTACCATAACAGAGGTCCAGACAGGCTTCATTTCGGGTAGGACATATAACATATTGCTGGTACTATATGATGGTAAATGTTCAGATAGACTGCACATGTTAAAGTCTCCCATGATCAGCTTTACTGCTTCAGCTGACTCCGTCTCAGCCTGGGATACAAGGTCATGGATCATGTCGGCAGCTATTTGGGTGTCAGTGGAGGGGGCTATATAAACAATAAATAGTTGGACCTTGGATTTCCTGTGGCAGGTAGTATGGCCGTAGGTTAAGAGCAAGGAGTTCAATGTCTTTAGTACAGACCTGTTGCTTCGTTGTGAAATTGGCTGGATTGCAGTATTTCTCTTACCAAAGTTGATGTTTCTGTCCATTCTAACGGTGTAGCCATCTAGCTCCACAACAGAGTCGGGGTCCTGTTCCTTAAGTCAGGTCTCAGATGGACAGATCAGGCAGGATTGTCGGTACTCAGAAAGGTATTGGTTACAAGCCCGTAGCTCGTCACTCTTATTCCTTATGCTTTGTACATTGCCATGCACAATAGATGGAAAAGGTGTCCTGAAGGGTTGTTTTTAATCCCTTTCGAATTCCCCCTCTACTGCCATGCTTCCTTGCTTTAGATGCCTTCTCTTGGGAAAAAGCTGATTGTGGTATTCCATTGTAGTGTAAGCTTGCGGCAAAGGGTTGGAGGTTAAGCAGGACATATCTTATGTGTGATATCTGCGTCTCGCAGTCTCGCCATATCCATTCAGAGTTTAGGTCGACGTCTTGTTTGGTGCATTTCACAAAAAAAATGATTAAAACTAATAGCAAAAGCACTGCTATTTGCCTCATTATTAGCCATCAGATTTCATACCACTAAAAACTTGGTTGATTGAGGTGGATCGCAACTTTAAAACACTTTAAACAAACAAACAAACAAGAGAGGGACAAGCACAAATGACCGAGTCGCTGCAAGAGCAGACGCCATGAGTGTGTTTATATTGTGTGCATCCGTGTTGCATAGATGTGTGTGAAGATGGGCCAGAAAGCAGTGGAGGGTGAGGGGAAGGGGTGAGGAGAAGGAGTGAGGATCGGGTGAGGGGAAAGGGGTGAGGATCGGGTGAGGGGAAAGGGGTGAGGATCAGGTGAGGGGAAGGGGTGAGGAGCGGGTGAGAGGAAGGGGTGAGGTGCGGGTGAGAGGAAGGGGTGAGGTGCGGGTGAGAGGAAGGGGTGAGGAGCGGATGAGAGGAAGGGGTGAGGTGCGGGTGAGAGGAAGGAGTGAGGAGCGGGTGAGGGGAAAGGGGTGAGGTGCGGGTGAGAGGAAGGGGTGAGAAGCGTGTAAGGTGAGAGGCTTGATGTGTTTAGTGACCGTGCCACGATGTCTGGGCTATCTGTAGTGTCTGTCAGTACATCACCTGCGCTGCTCTGTCTCCCTGACAGCGCACACACACACACACACACACACACACACACACAGAGTGGAGATGAATAGGGCCCAGCAGTAACACATGGAGCGACGCCCCATAGAGTGTGTCAGAAGAGGAGTGATTTAGGAGGTTAGGCCTGGACCACTGCTGTGACACCTGCCTTAGGAATCTAACTATCTCACACACACACACACCTCCTGTTACCATTCTGCTGCTGCCTCCGACCCATAACCTCTGACCCTCAACCCCCAGCCTCTGCCTGTGTCAGAGGAGACCCCGTTTTACAATCCGCCATGTTGCTGTAGACTTCAGGTTTGGCCGTAGGGACGCAGCATATGGCAGTAGAGGAGTGTGGAATGTGTAGAGGGCTTGAGTAGGTGTGTGTGTGTGTGTGTGTGTGTGTGTGAAGTCAGACTGTGCGTTCCCCTTCCCAGTGCTGCGTTACCGTTCTCTCTCTCTCAAATGAAAGCTAAGAGTTTATATTTAGTATTATTTTTGATAAAGATAACTACATATATTTGGGGCTGGGCTTTATATCGAATTAATTTGATTAATTCAAATGTATGTTTTTGCAAGATATTCCAAATACCTGTATCGCAAGAATCTAGTTTTTTTTCATATTTTTATTTTTATGAGTGTTTGTCTGCTTCTTCCCATGTTTTCTTTGGTCTCGCCTCTTTTGCTCCTTCTGCTGTGACTTCTTTCATTTACACAAACACACCAAGCCCCTCCCCCACACACCAAGCCCCTCCCCCTGCCACTCACAACAACAAATATGAGAGATCACTTCTTCCTCTCTGACAAGCGGTTTCAACTCGCTATTTGCATTTGAGGTTTGGTCCAACAGAATCGCTCATATGGACACTGAAACACATTGAGACATTAGTTTACTGTAACAGAGGAGAACTTAACCTTTCTAACAATAGCCTTTTTATGTTTCAACTCCTCAAATGTGCGAAGAGCAGACCCTACTAAAATGGGAGTATCAATGAACATTGACTCTAGAAAATGAATGATCAGTTTCTGTTGTGCGCGGCATTGCGGTACAACGTACCGCTAGCAGCATTTTAGCCGAAGACTGTTATACTAGCTGTCTAGTCTGTATTTTATAAATGTGCAATGAGCATAAAAAACTATTATATAAAGAATTGGCAACTCATTCTCATTCTGAGAAATAAGTTAGGGAACTTGATTTCAACATCTGAACAAAGTGGACAGGCTAGCATGCTGTTCAAACAGTTGGAGAGGGACAGAAGGGTGTGTTCATAACAATTCAACTGTTCTACCTTGTTAGCTAGCAAGGAGATCCAAGTTGGCTAGACTTTAAACATAAAGATTAGCTGGCTACTCACTAGCACGTGGGCTTTTGCTTGAGAGATTGTTTGAGACCTTGGTTAATTTTCTATAGCTTAATGCCTGCTAGAAGAAGTTAGTCATTATTATTGAATGTGCATTATGTATGGTTCTGGTTAGATTTGTAACAAAAAGGGCATTTTCGTAGATGGACTTGAAAGCCAGATCAGTGATTATTGCAAAAAAAACAGGTTAAACTATTTTTATAAAACAATGAAATTACTGGGTCTTATGATTGTGGAAGGCTTATATTTAGCCTAAGTATAATTTCACAAGCCCTGAATTCATTAGATTATTGCTGACTGTTTGAAATGCAGTGTATTTGTCACGCTCTGGCTCCAGGACTTTGTATGTTGAGCCAGGGTGTGTTCGTTTCGTTGTGTTCTGTTTGGTTGGGTTGTCTATGTGGTTGTTTCCTTGTTTGGTCGTGTGACTCCCAATCAGTGGTAACGAGTGTCAGCTGTCGGCTCGTTATCTCTGATTGGGAGCCATATTTAAACTGTCTGTGTTCACCTTGTGTTTGTGGGTTTTTGTTCCTGTACAGTCATTGTCACTGTGGACTTTACGATCGTGTTTTGTTTTGTTTCGTGTACTGTACCAATTAAAGTCATGTTCGTATCGCACGCTGCGCCTTGGTCCACTCATTTCGTAGACGATCGTGACAGAAAAACCCACCTTAAAAGGACCAAGCAGCGTGTCCAGGAATCGGCAGCCTGGACGTGGGAGCAGCGTCGGAGGGTCGAGAGGCAACCCCAAAAAATGTTTAGGGGGGGGCACAC